AGCGATTACACTCCAGTGCAGAAGGTGGCGGTACTGCGACCAAAGCCAACCGCCAGTAGTAAACAAGAAGAAGAAGAAGAAGCGAAGCAGCTTAGCTGGGTGTAGCAGGGGAAAAAATCAGTTGTTGTGGAGAATTGTGTCGGACTGGCGAGTGGGAAAGAACAAGAGTTGGAAGACGCGCCAGCAGCACTTTATAGGTCTGCTGTATGGGAGCGCTTTGCATTTAGAGTGACCTACGATGACGGCGGAAAGAAAGTTGTGGAACAGTGTGCAAGCATTGTGCAACACGTTTTGTTTATGCTAACAGCAACATGTCATGCTAACCCCGAAATCCCACATACTCCGTCAGTAACCCACGCTCCGCCCCGCTGCGCTCCAGACCGGCTGCTCAAAGCAAAGCCTACAGCCTCCACTGTGGCTTCGTCTGCTCCCCTCTGAGTCCCTTGGAGATGGTAGAGAGCATGCGCCAGATGATTAAATTCAAAGCAGCAAAACATACGGAAATGATCCAGGGTTTTTGCGGATCATTTAAAATAATTACAATCCATTATTTTTTGGGGGATTTTTTCATTAATTTTATAAATTTTTATGGGATTTCGGTATAACAATCAACATGTATCGAATCGAACCGAAAACCGTGACCAGAAACCGTGAATCGAACCGAACCGTGGATTTTGTGAATCGTTCCACCCCTAATGTGTATATATCAATTCAATTCAATTCAGTTTATTTATATAGCGCCAAATTCACAACACATGTCATCTCAAGGCACTTTACAGTTCAACCAGATCATACAGTCAAATTGATACAAAGTTTTCTATCTAAGGAAAACCAGTTGATTGCATTGACTCATTGACTCAAATACAATCCCCCACACTAAGCATGCTTGTAGCGACAGTGGAGAGGAAAAACTCCCTTTTAACAGGAAGAAACCTCCAGCAGAACCAGGCTCAGTGTGAGCGGCCATCTGCCGAGGCCGACTGGGGTTCAAGGAGACAGAAGCAGAGATACAAAAAGCAGCTGTAAAAGGCGGCCCCGTCCAGGAAACACACAGCCAGGCAGACGAGCTCCAAGGCAGCTCCCATGCCAGAGGACGAAGAGAGCACATCCACTCAGTCACGGTCAGAGAAACAGGACCACACTGGAAAACAGGCCGATCTCCAACATCTATTAACAAGGGTGTTGATAGAAGCAGCACAGCTGATGTTTTTTTCCAGGATGACGTCACAGCCAAACAGGAACAGACGAGGCAAAGCTACTCTGAGGAAAAGCAGAGAGAGCAGAAGGTTAGAGATTGAACTAACAGATTCTGCAGAATAGGAGAACAGAGAGAGAATGAAGCAGAATGATGAAATGGGGGTCCCTATGTCCTCCAAAAGTCTAAGCCTATAGCAGCATAACTATAGAGATAGCTCAGGATAACCTGAGCCACCCTAACTATAAGCTTTATAGCCTTAAAAGTAGACAGGGTGTCTGCCTCACGGACTAAAACTGGTAGTTGGTTCCACAGGAGAGGAGCCTGATAACTAAAAGATCTGCCTCCCATTCTACTTTTAGAAATTCTAGGAACCACTAGTAAACCTGCAGATTGAGAGCGAAGTGCTCTGTTAGGAACATAAGGAACAATCAGATCTCTGATATAAGATGGAGCTTGGCCATTTAAGGCTTTATATGTGAGAAGGAGGATTTTAAATTCTATTCTTGATTTAACAGGAAGCCAATGAAGAGAAGCCAGGATAGGAGAGATATGATCTCTCTTTTTCATTTTCATTAGAACTCTGGCTGCAGCATTTTGGATCAGCTGAAGGCTTTTAACTACAGTTTGTGGACTTCCTGATAGTAAAGAATTACAATAGTCCAGCCTTGAAGTAACAAATGCATGGACTAGTTTCTCAGCATCACCCCTGGACAGGATATTTCTAATTTTTGCAATGTTCCTCAGATGAAAGAAGGAAATTCTAGAAACCTCTTTGATATGGGATTTAAATGACAGGTCCTGATCAAAAATAACACCAAGATTTTTTACTTTATTATCTGAAATCAGTTTAATCCCATCCAAATGAAGTGACTGGCTAATCAGTTTCTTTTTCAGAGACTCTGGTCCAAAGACTATAACTTCTGTTTTGTCTGCATTCAGAAGCAGAAAGTTAAGAGTCATCCAGGTTTTTATGTCTTCAAGACATGCCTGTAATCTATGTAATGGGTTAGCTTCATCTGGATTTATAGACAGATATAGCTGGGTATCATCAGCATAACAGTGGAAATTAATCCCATGCTGTCTAATAATTCTACCAATTGGGAGCATGTATAAAGTAAAGAGAATTGGTCCTAGCACTGATCCCTGTGGTACTCCACAGGTAACCTTTGAGCGTGTTGAAGATCTATCATTAACATGAACAAACTGAATTCGATCAGATAGATAAGATTTAAACCAGTCTAGTGCTGTTCCTTTAATTCCAACAAAATATTCAAGTCTTTCTAAAAGAATATTATGGTCAACTGTATCAAATGCAGCACTAAGATCCAACAGGACGAGCACAGATACAAGTCCATTATCTGAGGCCATGAGAATATCATTAGTGACTTTCACCAGAGCTGTTTCAGTGCTATGATGAGCTCTAAAGCCAGACTGAAACTCTTCAAAAAGTTCATTATGGTGGAAGTGATCGCAGACTTGTTTGGCAACTACTTTCTCAAGAATTTTGGATAAGAAAGGAAGATTGGATATAGGTCTATAATTGACCAAGTCATCTGGGTCAAGAGACGGTTTCTTAAGCAGAGGTTTAATTACAGCAATCTTAAAAGCTTTAGGTACATATCCCTGTAACAGAGATAGATTAATCACATCTAAAATGGAGGAGGAGATCAAAGGGAATACCTCCTTAAATAACCTGGTTGGAACTGGATCTAACATACAAGTTGAAGGCTTAGATGAAGACAATAATTTTGCTAATTCAGAGAGTTCAACTGGATCAAAGCAGTCTAAACCCGGTTCAGATTCCATGACTACCTCAGGTACAATCGCGGATAGAGGAGTGCTTATGATCTTATTTTTAATAAGATCAATCTTATTTATAAAGAATCCCATAAAATCATTGCTGCTAAGAGCAGGTGGAATGGACGGTTCAACAGAGCTATGGCTCTGGGTGAGTTTGGCAACTGTATTAAAAAGAAATCTAGGATTATTCTTATTCTCCTCTATTAATGAGGAGAAGTATGCTGCTCTTGCTTTACAAAGGGTCCTCTTATACAGCAGTAAACCATTTTTCCAGACTAGGAAGGACTCTCGCAGGCCTGTGGAGCGATATTTTCTCTCCAGTTTCCTAGCATTTTGCTTCAAAGTACGCAGCTCTGCATTAAACCAAGGAGCAAGCTTTCTATTTTTAACGGTTTTCATTTTCAAAGGAGCTGCGTTGTCTAAGGCAATACGCAGAGAACTAGCAACCCCATCAACAAAATCATCAACCTGTGAAGGGGAATAAGCTAAGCTTTTGCACTCTGCAGCACTGCTCAGTGACACAGAGCAGAGAGAAAGTGAAGCAGATTCTTTAAAATTTATAACTGCACTATCTGATAAAGATCTACTAAAATTGAACCTTCTTTTGGGGGAGGAGAACTCTGTTAAAGTAATCCTGAAGGTTATTAGAAAGTGGTCAGAGAGGACAGGGTTGTGAGGAAATACTGTTATTTCTTCACATTCTATGCCGTATGTCAGCACAAGATCCAAAGTATGAAGATGAGAATGCGTGGGACTATTCACATTTTGAACAAAGCCAATAGTGTCTAAGATAGCATTAAAGGCTGCTCTTAAGCTATCGCCTTCAATGTCAGCATGGATGTTAAAATCTCCCACTATGATGACCCTGTCAGTATTTAATACCAAATCAGAAAGGAACTCTGAAAACTCATCTAAAAATTCAGAGTAAGGACCTGGTGGACGATACAAAGTTACAAAAAGAAGAGGTTTTCTTGCCTTGAAATTTGGATCAGGGAAATTAAGGGTTAAATGTTCAAAAGAGTTGTAGGTATTAATTGTTTTGGGAGTAATCAGTAAGTCAGACTGGAAGATTGTTGCTACTCCTCCTCCTCGCCCAGAACTTCTGGGGATGTGAAAATTTAAATAGCTTGAAGGAGTTGCCTCATTTATGCTCACATAATCCTCTTGCTGCAGCCAGGTTTCTGTAAGGCAAAACAAGTCAATGTGATTATCACAAATCAAGTCATTAACTAGTAGACTTTTAGAGGAAAGCGATCTTATGTTAAACAGACCGCATTTAATTGTTTTAACTTTTTCCCCAATTGGAGTTATTTTGATTTTAATTAGATTATCATGATTTACTCCTTTGGGAATCTTTGCTAATTTATTAGATTTTGGTCCTGGGCAAGACACTGTCTGGATGGAGTAAAGAGTGGGTAACAGTAGAGAAGCTGCAGAGATGTGTGTTAAACTACAACTCTGCTTCCTGGTCTGCACCCTGGGTGGTCAGGGTTTTGGAGGACTAATAAATGTGGCCAGATTCCTAGAAAGAAGAGCTGCACCATCCAAAGTGGGATGGATGCTGTCTCTCCAAATCAGACCAGGCTTTCCCCAAAAGGATTGCCAATTATTAATGTAGCCCACGTTGTTTTATATATATATATATATATATAGTCATACGGTCCTTTATTAGAAAGATGTCTTTGCCTGAAAAAAAAGCCTTGATGTGATAAGAATTTTGATATTATCAGGTATTTATCTTAGTATTTGCATTTAAAAATTATTTTATATAAAAACTAAAGGCAGTTTTGGGCCATAATAATTATTCTTACATATGATCAATGGAGGGGACTTCAGCGTCCCTCTGACTCATGCCAGACTGATAAAACTCAACAGCTCCTAAGTTTTCAATACTTTTTTGACTCCTAAACCAATCATCGGTCTGCTGCTGGACGTTCAAAGGCTCACTGGCTTTGCATTAACTTTAAAATGTCTGCCTCTGCTTTCTTTCTCTCCTCTGCAGAAATACATTGCCTTAGAGGACTCTCAAGATGGGGAGAAAAAAGATCTCCAGTGTCGACTGATCACTTCTGAGTCCCACGCACGACAACTAGAGCTAAAAGCAAAGAACTATGCAGATCAGAGTAAGTCCACTGCTTTCTGCTTCAGTAACTCGTTAAGCCAACGCTGTAAAACAACCAGTTACATTCAACAGATTCCTTGTGACTGTCATCTTGCTCTACCAGCAGCGGGGGGGGGAAGTGTTCACCAACTCTGTGTAAAGCTGCCTAACATGTTCCCAGCTCACAGCAGTAAACTCTGATAGCAGAGGTTGGTTCTCTAGCGCTGTTTGGCTGTTTTCATTGCCTCTCGTTATGATGCAGTCATAATATCCCATTAATTAAAGACTTAAAGAGGATACAGAGACATCAGCGTCCATTTTTACTCACATAAAAGGAGCACTGCTGTCTCACAACTACATTCACCATCAATGGGGTTCATTTTAGGGTCATGAACTGATCAATTTGAGGTTTGATCACTGTTTTAGCTAACTATTACTATATTAAAAGAAGGATAGATGTCTTAAGGGCCCGCATCAGTGCGTCGCAGTGAGCTTGTGGCAGATATTTTGGATTTATACACAATATTGAAGCGTGGTCTGCGCTATGTTATTCCACGCCGCAACGCAAGAGGGAAAATCACAAACTAGCTGTGGGTCTAGATACGGCCGAGGCGGTTAGGAAGTGGAGGCAGGTTTGTACGACAACGGAGGGACATGAGGGCGGGGATCTGGGTGGAAAAAGGGTCCCAGCGTTCTCGTGCACCTCGCTCTTCAAGCTGGTCCATCTTCACGAGTCGTTTTCCACAATGACGGTAATACAAACAAAACAAGCCGGTAAGGTACCAAACAGGAAATACGCACAGTGTAGAGCGGATGTAGATTTGACCAATCAGAGGCCTTCTGTCCACGGTCACCTACAATTTGAGAGAGGTGCACCAGAGTATCTGCGTTCACTGCGACACACATGCAGATGACCTGGTGTCTGAGTATAAATTAGCCTTTAGAGGTTCTGATCCATAACGAGGCTTAAATATCCAAATCTGAAATCATCTGTATCAGATTAAAAGCTAAAACAGCCTATCTGCTCCTGTTAAGCGTTCTTTCTTTTAGTTTCCCGCTGAAAAAGAAGACCTGTAGAATCTACCTTTTAAATATCTCTGTTCCTCTGACTTCATTTTAAACACCTCTTTGATGTAAATCCAGCTAAGTTTGTCCCTTTCTACCCCAGATCGTGTTTCTGGACGCTTTGCTACCTTTAGTTCAGTGCCATCACTCTTTGTCTCCTTCAAGTTTTTCTTTCTTCTTTGATGAAAACAACAATCATCTGACTGAAATGTACATACGGTGTTCATCATGTGTGCTGCTTCTGAAGCAGAAAATAGAATCAGTTAAAGATAAGACGGTGTAGTCATGGTGTTTTTATGCAGGATGAAAAAAAAAACAACCCTCATGATGCTTGCATGACTGCACTGTTGACGACGAGCTAGACCGCATGCGGCTGTCAGTATTCGGCTGTAGGGGAAATTAGAAAAAGGATTTTTATTTCTACTCATGTGTTACTTCCTTTTTTCAGTTTGGGAGTATTTCTTTTTTTTCAACCTCTGAAGTTACAGCTTGTGTTTCGATGAATGGATCCTTTCTTCATGTAACTAGAGGGCATCCAGATACTTGGTCTGTGTAGCTGTACTGTGGCTAACCTAAACGCAGACTGACACAGAGCTGGACAAACAGAAGTTAGGGAATTTTGCCTCTGATTCATCACCTAACACCTACTTGTTTACAACATAGTGCTTGAAAAATGGCTTCACCCCTGAACTCCACAGGCTGCCGTCATCTTTCACACCTACTGTCAATTATTCGACTGGAGATGCCGAGGCTTTGCTTTGGGCTTTTTGAAATACTGAAAAAAACACATTATGTCTTGTTTAAGTGAAGCTTAGGTTGCTGTCAGCACAAAATAAAAGTGAACTAATTTGAGTTAAAGGCTTGTGCTGTTTTAGGTGATTTATTTGTTGTCAGAGATTAGATGTAGGGGGTCACCGATTGTAGTTTTCTGACCGATTTTAAAAGGCTATTCTGATTTTATTTTTATAATTGTCTAATTTTGAATAAGGCTGGACAATCAATTGTACGGAAGAGGATTAGGGCCACTGAAAAAAAAATAAGTTAACAGATTTTTTTTTCCCGGTTTAATACGAGAAAAAAGTCAGAATTCTGACTTTAATCTCACGATTCTGACTTTTTTTCTCAGGAATCTGACTTTTTTTCTCAGGAGTTTGACTTTAATCTCAGAATTCTGAATTGTCTCCCATATTAAACTGAAATAAAATGTAAAATTCAGTTAACTTTTTATTTTTTCGCTGGCCCTAATCCTCTTGTGTACAATTGCATTGTGATAAAAAAAACAAAAAAAAAACGACACAAATTTTTAAATCATAGATGTCCTCAAATATGGTCATATTACACTTAACAAGTAAAATAACTAAATGTAATCCCTCCAGCCCATTAGATGGCAGTAATATGCTTAAAGTGGGTTTGCAACCACTCAGACATGAAATGAAACTTAATTGATCTCACAATGAGGAAATCAATGAAGAAAGACATAGAGGTAGTACACAGATTGATGCATGCAAGAAGAATTTAGCACTTTTTCGCACAAAGGTTATAGTCAAGTCCTGCAACAACGGAAAGGCAAGCTTTCAAAGTCATGAAAAAAACCTAAACCCTGCAGTGAAACATTTAAATGATTGTTCTTAGTGGGAATGAAAATTAAGATAAATTTACAATTGCAATATTTGTTAATAATGACTTCAGTTTTCCTTATTAGGCAAAATCATCCAGTCTTTATTTTGACAGTGTCAGTTGTTATAAGATCACAATAATACTACAATAATAATACAATAATTGTAGAAATGCATCGATCCAGTTTTATCCAATCCGATACAGATATCTGGGCTGAGCGTATCAGCCGATATCTGATACTGATCTGATTAATCTTTTAAATAAATAAATTAACTATTTATCTTTGCATGTGAGTGAAGGCTTTAGCCTCGACATGAGGATTGAGAAAAGGTAACAAATGAACACAGATATAAATGTACTTTATATTATTTATTAAAAAATATGTAGCAAAAACACAAATGAACAGTTCCATTTAAAGTTAACTGGATTGGATCTCTGATATCAAATCCATCAGTATTGCAGCCAATATCTGCTCCAGGTATCAGATCGGCGCATCGCTGGATTTAAGTGATGTTAGCGAATGTGCTGCACGTGGCTTTTTCTAGCCTCATGTTTCCACAATGGGGCTGCCAGGTGATAACAGCAAAAATGCTGAACTATTGTTCTTTATTCTATGGAGTAGCATAAGAAAAAAAAAAAAAAGAGAGAAATATATATAGGATGGTTTTATTAAATGTGTTAGGGAATTATATTTTTCTTTAACAGCAAGGATCAGGGTTAATGGTTACCTATCACAAACTATTAGTATGGAAAGAAGGACACACCAAGACTGTCTGCCGAGTCCAACCCTATTCGCATTATTTATTGAACCTTATCTCAAGCAATTAGAGAGGATTCTGGGATAAATTGGATCATGAATAGAGGAGAAGAACATAAGTTGCTTATGTTTGCTGATGATGTTTTACTTTTTTATCACAAACCCAGACTTAAGCATCCCTAAATTGATGTTTCTGCTAAAACAAATATAATTTATACTCTGTATATAAGCTTAAAATCTACAAAAAACATATATTCTGCACCCAGATTTCCTGAGAAACATAATTTTTCATGGGAATCACCCAACATAAAATACTTAGGAATAAACCTGACAAAGGATATGTCAAAACTTTTTCAATATAATTATGGTCCCATTAAAAAAGAGATCACATTCTAGACGCTCCTCCCACTGGATTAAAGTAATATAATATAAATTATTAAAATTAACATGCTAAGGCTTATTTATCTCTTCCAATCTCTGCCTACTTAAAACAGTTGGAGGAATAAACTGCCTGGATCTCCAAGTTCGACTCTGCAGCTAAAACAAAAAGGAGGGAGAGCTTTACCACATTTACAGGATTAATTTTACGCTGCAAAATTGAAACCCTTACTACACTTGTGGTCTCCAGTTTATGAATCTAAATGGAAAATATTGGAAACTACTCAGCTAAACAATCCAATACAGTCTATAATAGGGAATAAAAACCAAGTTAGAAGATATAACCGTAAACTCTTATGCTCTAGTTTATGCTATCAGTGTATTTATAGACAAGCAGGTCAGAATCTTGAATTGGAAAGCATTTCATCAAGAATTTAAACATGCCAGCATGGAATGGGGCTTTAAGCAGTGGGTTAGGAGAGGGATCACGTCCTTTACTTCCCTTATAAGATGTTAAATGGTAATTTAAGAGTTATGATTCGATTCCAGCCACATTTATATTGGAGAAGCAGGACTATCATTGAAAGCTGCATGTCTAGGATTATTAAAATAAGAAATTTCAAATCAAAGAGAAGTAGAAATACAATATATCTACATTTTGTGAAGTATATAAAACAAAAGACTAAAAAGTTGCTGTTAAGACTATATGGAAGTATTCAACAGTGTTGGGCACGTTACTTTGAAAAACTAATTAGTTATAGTTACTAGTTACTTCTCCCAAAAAGTAACTGAGTTACTGAGTTACTCCACAATAAAAGTAACTAGTTACTAGTAAAAGTAACTATTGCGTTACTTTTTTGTTTCTCGCCCCTGTAACCCTCACCACCCGGCCCCCACCTTCTCACCGTGTGTTTCAAAAGCCAGCTGAATAGAGAGGAAGACAAAGACCTGCAGAGAGTTTTGCTTTTATTGCAACTTAAAGTAAATGACATCAGGGGGGAACGCTATCTGATGGGCCTATAAACCCAGTCCATCCATCCATCCATCCATCCATCCATCCATCCATCCATCCATCCATCCATCCATCCATCCATCCATCCATCCATCCATCCATCCATCCATCCATCCATCCATCCATCCATCCATCCATCCAACATTAGAATGTTCACGCTCTCCATAGTTCTCCTGTGGCGCGAGCACAATGCGGCTGTTACGCGCCTTTATGCGCATTTCCTGTCGCTTGCGCGGTGAATAGTGGCGCCTGCGCTGTGCGGAGATGCAGGGGAACTACCTGATGGGGAAACGCAGCTCGCTGGAGTCCTCCTCACTCTCCATCTCTCTGTGCGTTAACACCCGTAACAGCCAATCTCATCCTGCCCTCTCTCATGACAAGGCGCGCACGAGTCCTATCATGAAAAAAGGTTAATTGTGCGACCTGAGTAACGTGCAGTAACGGGGTGTCTGCAATGGTAACAGCGTTATAGTTACATTTAGTGTAATAATTTTGATTACTCCCATCGCTGGTATTCTGCCTTTAAAAGCCGCTCTACATTGCACATTAAGGAAAAATGGGCGAAGGCATAAACACAAATATCAGATGAGACCTGGATAGAAATATGTGAGAAACAAACCACCAATGCAAATTAGAGCGCTTTAAGAGTTTGGCTGGAAAAATGTAGCAAGATTTTTCATAATTCCTAAATTTAAAGCATCACAGGCGCCCAGAGCCAAGGCTTCTGTTGGAGACAGTATGGTTCTCCTATGGCTAACCACTTTCATGTGTTTTAGGCTTGGCAGAAAATCAGTTATTTTGGAGGGAGGTGCCACCTGAGAAGAATAAAATAATAGGATTTAGATTACTCTTCTGTCACTCTGTATCTCGGTAAAACTCCTAAAACAGTCTTGTATAAGGTTAGATACTTGCTGAAGATTCTTCGTGCAAGTGGAAGGAAAGCCAAAACCAGGAGATGGTTACAACTAGATCTGCCATCATTTGACCAGTGGCATGGGATCATTCAGGAAATTTACTGGATAGAAATATATTTACTTTTGCTTTGAGGCATCAGCTGGAGAAATATAAGGAATTCTGGGAAAAATGGCTGGAATATGCACCCAAATTAGTGTCACATTTGTCTGTAATGAATGTGTGTGCGTGTAATTCGATATGTTTATTTTACTTGCAGCTCAAGCTACGATCTCAGGTTCTTTGTTCATATAAAAAAATAAATAAAAACTAGGAATAATTACCAGCATGACTGGACTAATTTAACCTTAAAGCGAGTAATGAAATTGTTAACAGTTTGGTATAAAAGAAAAACTAAAACCTGAGTAGAACCTTAGTTGGTACCAACAGAAAAGATGCGTTTGTTTTTAGCAGGGGAAAGGTGAATGGACGTTTCTTTTTTAATTTGCCAGCATGCAGCGCTCAGAAACAGGTTGGGGAGGGGAGTGTCATGTTCCACTGTTTCATAAGAAAAAAAAAAAGCTCTTCTCTTTCTTCCCCTGTGAGAGATGTTTCATTAAACCCTTTGAAAGTTGTCATGGAACAACTTTTTAATAACACACTTTCATACTGGTTACCAGCCAGGGTCAATTTTGCATAAGGGGTATTCTGAGGTTCAGGTGATCAAGTTATTTTTGCTCTTCTGTTTTTAATCTTCTTCCTCAAAAAGATGCAGAATTTCACTTTCCATAACTACAGTAGATGCTTTCAGAACCACAGCAGAACCCGGCACTGCTCAGCCTGACAGGATCTAAGACCTGGTACAGGTCTCACTATGCCACAGACTTATGGGGAAGACTTTGATGTTTACCTCTGATAGAATAGACGAGTGAAGTTGAATGATAACAGAAACAGCTGCTTTGCTTTAAAATAAATAAGGTCGCCAGAGAGCGGATGTTCTGGATGTAAGTCAATTTTCTAATGGCTTTGATCTGTTTCTGACCTATTTACAGTTTCAATGGCTTTACTAATATATTATTGTTCTAGATTGTCATACTTTGTGTATTGTTTTTTTTTTTTTATAATTAAACAGGAGTCTTATCTGTTAAGGTTTTTAAGATCAAAATCAGATACATTTTTATAATGCGTTTATTAAAAAACAAAGGAGCTGAAAACACTAGAATGCAAAGTCAAAATTAAGAAAAACTGAAAGTCCATCATGGCTTAAAAAATTAGAGGAATAGTTGAGGCATTTGTTCCAATAACTCATCCTCCAGAAAACAAGCTGCTGATCTTTTCATCAACTTTTAAGACTTTTATGGGACAACGTCCCCCTCTGCTGGAGTATGTTGGTATAACAACAAATTGGTTTAATTACTACACCACTATTACACTGGCTTTTCACTTAGCACATACTACGGTATTTATTGTTAATATTAACAGTAATTATGGTTTATATTTGCTCTGGTTAATATTTTGAAATGTCTTGTTGTTTTCTTAGTAAGCAGATTTGAGGAGAGAGAAGCAGAGCTCAAGAGGGAATACAATTCTCTTCATCAAAGACACACGGAGGTAAGCTAAACAACAGACAAATATTTTTATATATATATAATTGGAGGAAAATAAACGTTATACATTATATCCATACTCCTTATTAACTGAGGTTTTTTTAAGTAAACTTTTGCTAACATTTTATTTAGTTTGAAAGCAATATTGATAAAATCTGTGGAGGAAGCTGAAGATTAGGATGATGACAGGAACGCCGGTGTTCTGTCAGATCAGCATACCCATAGTAAATAGAATAGGAAATCCCTTTATTGTCCCACAATGAGAACATGCTTGTGTTTACAGCAGCAAAAAGATTTTAGAAAAAACAAGTATGGAGCTTAGAAAAATGTATATGCTGTACATGTTACGAAGATGCTCCACAGTTCAGGGAGCCAGAGAAAGGTGACTCTCGTTTATTTAAATCAGGGGAGATGAGTTTATTTTCCAAAATATTACAGTAATGTTTTTTCATTAGATGGATGCCTTCTCCATTAGATTTAGATGACTGTGAGGAGACGGGTCGCCTGGCTGGCTCAGAGGCTGGCAGCTCCCGTTCACTGCCTTCTGTTTTCACCGAGGCAGGCAGAAGTAGAATGTCCCAGGTGATGGTAGACGAATGTGACCGTGCACTTACCAAGCTCACTGTTTCACAGAATCAATAAGAGAATCGGAATCGTGAAAATCTCATTAATTCCCAACCCCTAATGAAAAATACACTTTAAACCACAAAAACTTTAAAACTATTTAATCTTTCTTCTTGGTGTTTTTTTTTAAGCGTATGGCGATCTGACCTTAAATTGTTTTTTTTGTTTTTTTTGTACATGACTAAAGGGATACACGCCCATCGAGGTTGTTTTAAAGTGTATTTTTCATACAACACTAAATGGATAAACTGGACTAGCATACACATATGAAAATCGGACGTGTTGCGCATGCGTGTTGACTATGGGTATGCTGGTCTGACGGGGTATTCTCACCTGACAGAACACCGGTTAAAGAGGCCAAATGAAGGAAATCCTGAGGAAGAAAAGCCATTATTACACGTCAACTGTAAGATACTTGTTTAGTTTCTATCAGCTTTTTCTGAAGCGCATTTTTTAAAATATCGCGTCAAAAAACCTTGATGGAGAATAAAAAATTGGGTTAAAATCAATTTTGCTAAAAAGTTTTTAATCCTCGCCTGAGGTGTTCTATCCACCCAAATACTTATTTACTTAAACATGTTGTTGTCCCCTCACTGTACTCCTCCGTTTACACTGTTCACCATGACAGACATTGTAAATAGATTGATTGATTGAATTTATTGATGTCACAGTGGAGAAATTTACTCTTAAAATCACCTCTAATAGGTTAAAAAAAGAACTTCTACGTCACATGACTGATCAGCTATTTCCGCTGTCAAGTTATGCACATAAACGTGCCTAGAAGTAACATCGCCTTTACTAGCTGATATGTTGATGTAAGAATAACTGGTCTGATAGCAATACATTAAATACAACTTTCCTCCATTACTCATCTGCGGTCAGTTCTAGGTTGAAGCTTCTACTTCTTGTTTATTACAGCCAAGCATGACAACGAAATGTGGAAGACGACAACGTATGATGACATGCTTAGTCAATTCCCCTCAAACCAAATGGAAAAAGCGCAGTTTCACATTACCTTTAATTCACACTGGTAAAAGTTTGCTTAAGATTCACATTTCATTTGGTTGGAAACACAGCTAATTGCTGTTTACAACAAGTGGAATAAGGTTTCCTGCTCAAAACTGACCAAAACAGAATGCTATCTGAGGCTAGCAAAGAAAACACCACACATTGACGTGCATGTGACGGCTGAAAGATTGATGCAACTAATAGGATGGAAAATGCTGGAAGAAAACCTGCTGGAGGCGGCTGAAAACTTAATGTCCACATCTATTACCTCAGTAAGAATAAATATACTGACAGAGCCACTATGGTGGGGTTTAGATAAGAGATTTTTTAATGTTTTAGTTCCTCAATCCAGACTGTAAACAGCTGCTTTCCCTCCAATCTGTCAGAGCTGGAGAAAAATGAAAGATTAAAGGTTGGGAGCCAGACTCTGCTGGAACTGATGAAAAAAGCGGCCGAGTACAAAAGACTTATACACTTATATTTTATTTTTAAAAAATTTGCTTTATCCCATAAATTCCCAATAAGATCAATAGTTTGGTTCAAGGGGAATTAAAATTTTGCTCGACTAGAAATTAAACTAATTCTAAATTTTAACTGGTAATCCCTTTAGTCCTTCTGATTCTAGTTTTGAATAAATAAAGAATAAAGTAGATGTGTCACATAGTGGAGCGATAGTGCATCAGGCGAAGGTGAAATTAGCCTTTGATCTCTGGTAGTCATCCATTATGAATCACCAGCCGGTGTCTGATTCGCCAAACCTCTCGGGCTGCAGCTGCATGCTGCTAATCTGAATTATGTTACAAAAAGATGAAAGCTGTTAGCTCCACGCTCTTAGTACACACACCTCACTTATATTATTCACATCTTCATTTCATAGCTCCTACTGTCATCGTTGTTGACTACATGAAGTAACAATAGGTCATTTACAGATGCATCCATTTTTCTTTCTTTTTTAAAGGAAAAATACTCTATATTTACTGGATTATCTTCTTTAACCTAACTCGTTTGTTGTTTTGTAGATGATCCACAGCTACATGGAGCACCTGGAGCGAGCTAAACACCAGCATGCAACAACACCATCAGAGCCGTCAGATTCAGGAACATCAACTAAACGACGGTTCGACAGCAGCACACTTTTTCCTGCTATCAGTTCAATCTTCCTTTTTACGTAAACTTAACTCATTTAATGTCTTGTTTAGAGTTTTGCTGTTCATCTGTAAGTGATGCTACCTGATTAAAACCCAGCAGCACCTCTGCAGGTTGAAAAAGAGCAAAGACAAAGAACCATCCTCCACACAAGGAATGCTTTGATTAGTGGAATCTGATGCAGAGAAATGACATGTTGACTTGTTGTTTTAGACTTGGATCAGCTTTAATTATTGTAGTTGTCAGCCTCCATGGAGATCTCAATGCAGTTTAGCCAGTTAATTTGGGAAATAACCCATAAGGGTCACTCCTTTGCTCAAATCAATGCTGAACATTGTTGGCCACGCCCATTTTGTTCTTCGATCCAGGCTGCATACTCTGGAAGCTTGATCTCCGACTGATGTTTGTGGTGCTAAAGCCCCGAACACATTACGTCTACACACGGTAAATATTGAGGATGTGGATCAAGCACCCTCTACAGTGCGGGGAAACTTTTAGAAAATTTGGGGCATGGTGGTGCAGTTTGTAACATTGCTGCCTTGTGGCAAGAGATTTCCGGGTGCATGTTTTCCCATGGATGTGTGGGTTCTCTCCAGGTGATCCAGCTTCCTCCCACTGTCCAAAACATGACAGTTAGGTTAATTGGACTCTCCAAATTGTCCTTAAGTGCGAGCGTGTGTGTGTGTGCATGGTTGTATGTCTGTGTTGCCCTGTGACTGATTGGCGACCTGCCCAGGGCTTACCCTTCCTTCCCGGTGCCTTCTGGTGATAGGAACCAGTCCCATCGCGATCCTTATGCAATGAGAGGAAAGAGATGGATGGATGAAGAAATAAAAAAAGAAGTTGTACGAAATGCATATACAGATGAATAAAATGATCGCATAATGCAGCTTTGCACTAATCTCAACCGTTCTTTGCACTATCAAATGAAATGCTAAAATAAGTCAAACATTGACTATAAAATGTCTCATAACTGCATTCCAGCTGTGTTTAACTTCCGCTCAGTGATGATTACCAGCAGAGTTTTTAAAACATGTGCCCCAGTGGTCAGGCTTTTTTTCCAGGTATTAGCGAGACTGAACCAGGCAAACGTTCAGCTGCACCAAGCAGATATTTAGATTTTAAGAAGTCTAAATTCTTGCCTAAAAATCTTTTATAAATTTTTTTTTTTAACAAATAAAAGGCAATTTATCAAACTTTTCTCACCCTTTTTTGTTGATCCTTTCCACCATTACGGCTCTAGAGTATCATGATACTCTTGAGTAGGGTCACTATTGTTTTTGAAAATGCTTTTATGTAAAATCAAGTGTGATGAAAAAGGATGAGCGGTAAAATAAATAAAAAAACAGGGATGCAGTTTACCGATGGGTTGAGCTATATTTAGAACAGGCTAATGGGCGACTCACGTAGTGTCTGGGAGGCTGCCCTGTTCCTTCTGACTCCAAAATGAGTGAAACTTTGCTGAATGTTGCCTTCTCAACTGAGCAGTTGTTCCAAACACTGCAGCACATCTACAGTGAAAATTATGAACCTACTTAAGGGAGTTTCATATCAATTAAATTATTTTTTAGGACATTAAGATAAGAACTTTGGCAGATAAGAATAAGGAAGCTAAAGCAAAGATCGCTTCCCACTATGGCAGGTTCTACAAACATCTAACGGGATGGGATTTAGTGTTGCTACATGAAAATACATGTTACTATCTAGTTTCTGTGAGGAACGTCTTTTAAAAGCGGCCAGCTCCATAGCAGCCCTGACACAGACACAAACATTTCTCACCCGGCTTCCTGTTTGGAAGCTGATAGGCTGCAGGCAGAGGAGAGGCATATGGAACAAGCTGCCTCAGCATCCTAACCAGAGGGAGAGATGGAGAGAGAGAGAGAGATAGACCCAGAGGGAGGGGTGCTGGGTGCTGTGGCTGTGAGGAGGGGGACGGCGTCGGAGTGTTCTAGACCGCACCGCAGCAGCCGCCATGCATCTCACTGCATGATAGGGAGAGGAGTGAAGCAGAGCACGGACGCTGCTGGTACCAGCCTGGTCCGACTCTCTGTGGATGATTCCCTGCTGCTGCCTCAATCCATCAGGATTACTTTTGCTGACACATTGTTCCTCTGCTGCTCTGCCTCTGCTCTCAGCTCTCCTATCCAGAGCTGTGGAACGACTCCCAGCCAGGGGCACCTACGGTCTCTGAAGTCTACTGCAGATGTAGCTACACCGGCAAACGACAGAGAGCTTCAGGGACCTTGGTTATCAGCTGTGCCCTCCCACCTTTGGGTCCAGGGTGAGGGCCATGAGCCCTGGGTGTATGCTGCTGTTTGTTTTTGGCTTTGTCGGGGGAGCGGTGGTCATCAACTCTGCTGTGCTGGTCTCTCTGTCTGTACTGCTGCTGGTTCACTACTCCGTCTCTACCGGAGGCTTACCTGCCCTTCCCTCGTTGCCCTCCATACCCAGACAAAGCAGGTACCAGCTTTCAGCTCCGTGATCTGATATTTACCTTCCCTGTTCTCTCGGTAGCCACAGTGGCGTCGTAGCCATGCTGTCACTTTCCTCTTGCCATGTGGGCGTGTTATCGACAGACAGGATGAGCCTAAAGAATCAAAGTAGGTCTAAATAGAGAAAGGGATACAACTCCATGATTTATTGAGACTGTCCATTTATTAGATAGATTTGAGTCCCTCTAAGTGTTGGAGGTAAAACGGGCTTCATTGATAGATTCAAAAGGCTTCAGCAATGTTTTCCTCAGTGACTAGGGTCAGGTTTGCTTTGGCTTGCAATAGTTTTCCAACTTCTTGGGCTTTTTTATATGATCACAGCTATTTAAATGCATTTAATTAGAGTGCCTGTTCTTTAAAGGTAGCTTAAACTCTGGCAGGCAGGCACATCTAGAAGGCATTCACTTTCTGTATGTCTTATTATTTTCTTCCGATTGTTTTACGGGAGCAAAAAAAGAATTACAGGTTAAAGTTATGAGGAATAGAAATAAAAATACTGAAGCTTTAAATTGTTAAAAGAATATACAAAATGTCACGTATTTAGTTCAGGAAAAGCCCTTTTTGTACTGCTAGCTGTTATGGCAAATACAATGGTCAGCTGAAAAATAAAACTTGGACCATAGTAATGGTTATTCACTCAGTTTAGACACTAACAGAAAAGTCTGTCTTCGAATATCTGAGGGGTATGAACGGCCTGCAAGATGGAAGCAGATCGGATTAATAATTTCATACTTTACTAAACTTACTGAAGTTTGACATATTTTCAGGACTAAGAAGTAAGTCTGCATAACGTTTAATGGATAAATATTGGCAGCATTCAGCAGTTTTACTATGTTTTGTTCTGTTTATATGGAAAACAAGAAATCCAAAATCCAGAGCAGAGATTAGAGCAAAAAGATGGTAGATTAGCAACATCTCATCCATTAAGTGTTAGATCCTCCCCCTGTTTTATTTTGTTTTTCCTTTCCTTTTCTGAACAATCATATCTCCCAAATAGCTGCCAAGATAACTCAGCTGTAGTTTATTATCGGTCCTCATCTGGAAAACAGGAGGTAACTGAAGCCTTTAGAGCAAATTTTATTAACAGCACCTGCTTAGATTAAATGAGCAGCGATGATGTGGAAATAATCCCTCCTGGATTGAGTGGAAAGTAATCAGCTAAGTGCAGCTGGAAGCAGCCACCTTCCTAAACTCCACAACAGGTGAGTCAGTTCACCTGTTGTTCTGGCTCTAATCAAACATTGAACCAACACGTTTTTACTATTTATTTTTAATTTGACTGATCAAAAATGAAAAGAAAAAAAAAATCATGTTTTACCCGTTTTAAAGACGGTTTGATTGGTTGCTGTTTCCCATGGAAACACACCTGCTGCCTATCTGATCAGTTCTTTTTTCTAAGAGCCATAGATAGCCTGGTTTGCCAGAGCTAGAGTGTAATTTTTGTTTTGTTGGAGAGCAGTCTGGTGGAAAAAGCCTCATAATGAGTGAAAGCCAAGGGTCTTAACAACCTATTGTAATGAAACACATTGATGGCCATCCCTACAACTTTTAGCTGCTCCAATCAGTACCTGAACCTGGTAGTTGGTGCCATTTAACATTTAGAAACCTTCAAGTTCTATTGTTTTGTTTTTTTGTTTTTCTTGTTCATCTTTGAAATTTTGATTATAAATTAAATGATAGTTCAGCTGTTATATGAATTGAAGCATAAAGTTTGTTGGTTATTCTGAATAGAGCAGTTAAAGTGTATTACTGAAGCCACTGAGTCTAAACCAGCCGTTTGTCTTTGTCTGTAGGAAAGAGCGCCCCATCTCCATGGTGTTCCAACTTCCTGGGAGCGATGGCCTGTCCTCTGAATACCAGAGAGACGCTGCTGATACCCCGTCTGAACCATGGAGATTCAACAACCTCAGCCATCCACAGTCCAACACCAGCCTTAAGGTAGGATTCCTGATTAACACCCGAAGCTGCCTTCGCTCTCAGACGGGATAGACTGGGAGCTTCCCACGCACCCCGGCGGTGACCTCATCCTCGGGTCGTTTAAACTGTTACAGGAACAAACTGGAAGGTTCGTCTGCCAGTAAGCCCTGAAGGAGGGGATGTCTGTTCAAGGAGGGTGGATTGTTCTGTGCCCCCTGAATTTGTAGCAGCTTGTGTGTTTGTGTGTGATGGGATGGCGTGGAGCCCAGAGAGAAGGGAAAGTGGGGCCATTCTGGGGCCCGCCTTCACCCTTGAAGGAGGCTGGAGGACACAGTCTTTTTCACATTGTTGCTGTTGGAACTCATGCTTCCAGCAAGGCTCCATCATGAATATTAATGAGTCTGTTAGAGGCTCCGTTTGTGTTTGACACCAACTGCGGTTCAATAAACATGATTGGATTTGGTAAAGAGGGTTACTCCTGGTAAGCTCTGTTTTTATTCTACTTTCTTGTTTTGTTCTCCTTGTTCAGCCTTTTAAGATCCTCAGTCTGGACATGGAGGCACTCAGTTTTAATCCCCTTAGTTTTTTTTTTTCTAAAGATCTCCAGCTTCTCTACCACCACCTTGTGTGTTTTAATAAAAAACCTTTTATAATTTAGACCTTTCAAAAATCAGAGTTTTAGTGAATTTCCTTAATTCATTTTATTATTTTTTTCATGGCAGTGTGCTTCTTTTCTATATTTTGATGTATATAAAGTAGGCTATCATTCTACATAAATGCAATTATTCATTTATTTGTTGCTAGACCAAGGCAAAATCGTCATTGTGAAACAAAGAGGCTTGTTAGTGCGCATTGGTGATCAAAGCATCATGAGGAGGAAGAATTCCTGCCAATCTAAACCAAACCCTTCTTCAAGGGTTGGGCATGGTGATGGCAGCATTGTTTCCAGGGAAGGTCGTCAGAGTTTGATCCCATTATAAATAAGCAGACTTGACAAAGGGGAAAAGTTCCCCTTATGAATAGATGACTGTCAACCTTCACTCTGGCTGAGCTTTGGATGTTGTGCTAAAAAGAGGCCAAAAAACCTGCAACACTCACAGCTGTAATCCAATCCACATATGCTTCTATAAAATGTGACACAAGAGGACGGAACAATTCAGTTTATTTTTATAGCGCCAATTCACAACACATCTCATCTGTACAGAGACAATTCAACTAGATCATACAATCAAACTGATTCAAAGTTTTCTATCTAAGGAAAACCAGTTGATTACATCAACTCATTGACTCAAAGGCAATCCCTCACACCATGCACACTTGTAGCGACAGTGAAGAGGAAAAACTTTCTTTTAACAGGAAGAAACCTCCAGCAGAACCAGACTCAGTGTGAGCGGCCATCTGCTGAGGCCCACTGAGGTTTACCTCTGTTTTAGTAGGGACATGCTCGGCCCAATGTTGTAAGGTTCTCATGGCAGAAAGTTTGTGTTCCAGTGGGTTTTGTTATTCAAAAAGAAGATATTGTTACAGGGTTTCCGGGGGTCATTAAGAATTATTAAAAGTCATTCAATTATTATTTTTTAAGTTAAGGCCTGATATAGGTATGTACGTGAAAAGTCAAGCTACATCAAAGAGGCTTCTCCTGGTGCCAGCTTTAAATGATGAACTGTGTTTGCAAAGTCTTTGAATTATTCTATCTGAAAACTTTTCTTTTTTAATTTTTTTTTTATTTTTTTGGAATCACTATGACGTAGATGACTGAGAATCTTTACCAGCAACTCGCCTGCAACAACAGCCTTTTTTTTTTGTTCTGTTTTAATAGCAATGCTCTTAATCAGCACAGAATGGATACGCAGAGAATATCTTGGCTGAAGTTTTTAATTTTTTTTATTTCCTCTCTGGTAAACTGTGCAGTCACATATAATTGAGGTTGCTTTTTAATCTCCCTCAGCTTGAAGATTATTTTTCCCAAATCAGAGCTGATGATGGAAGAATAACACAAGGACATTTTCTCTGCCAGGTACAGAGGATTTGCTGTTTGCATCCACAACACCGACTCTCTATCTGTTCTGCATTTCCTGTACTGTAGAGTTGGTTGTGTGAATAAGCTAAATGATGCTAACACTTTAGATGTATAAAATGCATGATATGCTCCAACTGATTTTAGATTTATGGCAGGAAAACAATACATTATGGAAAAGGATCTATGTTTTTAATTACTATTTTGCACAGCTTGGTGGTTGATTGTTTTTGGTCAGCATGCCTGTATAAACTTAACAGAGGATCCTGGGTAAACAATCTGCCTTTTATCATCTCTTGTTATCATGGGTTTATTTATTGCTGTAACTGTTAAAGCGTTTAGACCTCATAGACAGAAACATGATGTAGCCCAGAGCAGCACTTTTTATTGAAACTAAACTGAAACTTTGTAAAAGTATCTTGTTGTTGGTTTTGCATTCTCTCTTCTTCTTTATTGTAAAGCCTGTAAATTATAATTTTTCTAAATTTTCTGAATCACAGTTATGCATCATAGAGCATTCCTGGGGTTTCTAGATGTAATAGAAATAATCTGGTGTTTTAAGGAGCCTATAAAATTATTTCAGTTTAACAATAATTGTTGAAAAATAGACTATTTTACACTTTTATTATTTGAACAAAAAAAATTTAAAAAATACCTATGTCTATAGATCATTAATTCAGTTTAGTTTATTTATATAGCGCCAATTCACAACACACGTCATCTCAAGGCACTTTGCAGTTCACCAGATCATACAGTCAAATTTATTAGAAGTTTTCTATCTAAGGAAAACCAGGTAATTGCATTGACTCATTGACTCGAATGCAATCCCTCACACTAAACAAGCTTGTAGCGACAGTGGAGAGGAAAAACTCCCTTTTAACAGTGGAAACCTCCGGCAGAACCAGTCTCAGTGTGAGCGGCCATCTGCTGAGGCCGACTGGGGTTCAAGGAGACAGAAGCAGAGATACAAAAAGAAGTAGAGATACTAAAGACAACTGTAAACCAGCTCCACAGGCGGCCTCGTCCAGGAAACACACAGCTAGGCAGACGAGCTCCGAGCCACCTCCCAGATCAGATGATGAAGAGAGCACATCCAGCCAGTCACAGTCAGAAAAATAGGCCGATCTGCAAGATCTATAAACAAAGGTGTTGATGGCAGCAGCACAGCTTATTTCTCTCCTCAGGATGGAATAGGAACAGATAAGGCGAAGCTATCATAAGCTACTATGATTATTTATTAAATCAAAGAAATGGTCTCTTTGACTTGTCAGATTAGATTTAAAGCAGGAGAAATTTATCGAATTGCTTTTAGATTAAATATAAACTATTGGTTATTTCTGGTATTAGTGCTATTTTTTAACAGACATACTTCTAAATGTCTTTTTTTAATCAGATTTAGAAAAAAAAAATGGTCTGGCTGGTTCTACGTCTCCTATGTCATCACTGGTAGGCTTCAACCACACTCATAAGTTGATGTCAATAAAGATAACGGTTGGCATGGTATCAGGTCTTTGGCAGGACGCGTTACATTATAAAATGAGTTATCATGCTACTATTTGCATCCAAAAAAAGAAAAACAAACTGACAATTCATACATGGTTCTGTTATAAATGGATGAAATTATAGTATTGAAGTTTATATTGAATGTTGACTGGATCAAATTGTTTTTCTACCTTTTTTTATTTTTATTTTTTTTGTTCAGTTTAGCTTCATTTCGTTGATCCTTGTGGTCAGTGGTGGCAGATTTGGATGGTTAGTTAATGGTACATAAGGACCTTCAGGATTTTGGTTTTAAACCTTTGTTCCAAAATACCAGATTGACTTAGTTCAATTTCTGGCATTATCCTTATTTTCCCAGTTTTTCCAGGCCTGTGATGGCTAGCCTGACATAGTCCTACTCAATTCTAGTCAGAATATGAGTCTGATACTGCTCCATAGAGCTGTGATTATGGGGCGTGTTTTGAACGAACCAGGAAAAAAAATGCCTCTGCACTCAATTGGATAGACCTACAACCAATAAGAGCAACGGAGTGCGTGACGTATGATAAGCGAGGCATAGTTGTTGTCCACAAAAATCAAAGCGTGCAGTTTCACGCCTATAATAAGAAGATGAGACTTGATCGCGTTTCTCTGTTCCCCTTTTAAAATTAATTTGCTGTCGATATCTTCTAGAACAGACCTAATTTCAGAATCTACACACCTCAACTCTCCAGCGGCAGCCATTGTTATTGTCACCCATGCGCGCTTTGGTCACGTGATTGATTACGTTACTGTTGATCAACTGTCCATCATCGTATAAAGCCCGCCCTGACAATTTGATTGGATCGCCAGAGAGTGGGCGATCATACTCGCGCTGCTATGGAGCAATGACAGACCAAACTTCCGGATCTCAAACCTTGTGGGCGGGACTAAGTTCGGAATGGCACCCAGGCTATGTGATGGCATGCTGGGTAAAGTTCTCCAGTCTGGTGATTTATGTAAAATCCAAAAGATGTTGAGCCTTGTTTCTGAACACCTGATTGCTCTCCTGCATGTGTGTTTTTTGCTTTCCTTTTAAAGTTCTAAAATGCTTCACTTTTGTTTCTAGAAATGCACAGAAATTATATTAGTGTCTTCTAACCCACCCTCCTCACCTTCCCTGCCAGGATGAACTGGCCCACGCTAACCATGGAAACTCCAAGCCCAGCACACCAGCCAACCAGGGAAAGATCTCCAAAACTGGTTCACCTGTGTTCACCTTAAACGACGGATCCTCCAAAGCCAATAACCCACCTTCCACTCATGGTGGCTCCGTCCCATCCCCCCATGAAGAAGCCAATGGTGAACATGCACTGTCCTCCTCTACGCCGCCGTCTACAGCTGCTTCTGTTGCTAAAACTGATCCTGAAAAGAAGCAGGATGGTTCTGAAGAATTCAACAAGAACCTGGACCGAAAAAGTGAGAAGTCTGAAAATGGAGAGAACGCAGAAAGACGACGGGGGGAACAGACGAGTCAGCTTGGAGAGGACAACCAGGAGTCTGCACCAGTGAAAAGTGAAGGTGATCAGTTCAGCATCTGATGCAACAGACCGGCACAAACTAATACACTATTAGAAAAATGTTAGCATTCTTTTGCAAGCTAAAATCTGAAAAGTTCAGCTTTTTTGTGCATTTAGTCCTCCTGACTCAACATGTTTAGCACTGAAGCAAGCAGGTTAATCTGAATCCTAATTTAGTGTTTCAGACACTAAAAGATGCCATTTACTGGAAGAATAATCCAAATCTCTACAGGAAATATTAGGGCTGAAACAATTAATCATTAACTGGAGTGTAGAGACTGTAAAACATGCCTTTAGCTGATAGAGCAACTCTTTAACAGCAGTAATTATACCAAAATTGTAAAAAAAAAAAAAAAAAAAATATATATATATATATATATATATATATATATATATATATATATATATATATATATATATATATATATATATATATATATATATATATAATAATCTTCTTTAAGAAACCTTTGGCTATCTAATTATTAATCGAAAAAAACAATCGACAGAAAATAATCATTAATTGCAGCCCTAGAAAGCATAAAATTATTTGCATGAAGAAAATGTCTGGCTGTAATTTGTTTTCTCTCCAGATCTCTTTTCTAAGCATTAGTTTTTGCAATGCATGTTAAATGTGCAGTTAATATATATTTTTTCTTATTTCACTTAAAACACTTGTTTACTAAGGAATTTCGATTTCCTCACACTATTTATTTTCATATAATCTATTGTTAAAATATTTGAAAGCTGGAAGGGAGACACAAACTAAATTGCATCTTAAATCCTCTGAAAGCCTGGACCGTTCTGTTTGTTTTTGGCAGATGGAGAGGAGAATTTGGAGAAGTCTGAGCTTCAGGCCATCATAGATTCGACTCCTGAGCTGGATATGGACTTTGATGGCGGCAGAGGAACAAGGTACAGGACCTGTTTGGCGCTGCAGCTTCTTATCCTGTATGAGGAAACATAGGCGGTGGTTAAAGATCATCGTAAAACTGAAACATTTTCTTTTGTGTTAACTGTTTGAACAGCACACCAACTATAGGCGGCATAGAGAATCCAGCCTTCGGCCGAAACAACGACTCTTTGTTTGACGAGCTGGCCTCTGCAGGGAACGACACGATAGGCGACGTGGACGAAGGAGCCGACCTACTTGGTAAAACATCTTACTCTACCAGGATGTTTCAACTTCTGTTTTTACAAACTCTCTGAGTTTTCTTCTGCTCTGGCTTGCGGGCGTAACCATCGTCACAGATGAGTTCTCTGGTGTGTATCAGGATTTCCTCCATGTCCACTTCACTGTGTCCAAAGAGTCTGTTTTGTCCTCCTGGTTGTAGCTGCCTATAGCGATGCTGTTTGTTTTTATTTGGGGTGTTTTAGTGTTTAGGATTGTGATTACCTAGAATATAAATTTTCAAAAGAGATGTAATTTAAATAAATTTTTCTTATCCTCCTTTTTATGACTGACTTTCAGTCTGCAACCTTTTAGGTAAGACTGAACATTTGTGTGGTGTTGGCATTGGCAAACAGAGGAATAGAGCTGGTAGATGATAACTCCACCAAAAAACATAATACTGAACGTGTTGCCTGGATGTTTATTTTCAGGTATGGGTCGGGAGGTTGAACATCTCATCCATGAGAACACCCAGCTGCTGGAGACCAAGTTAGTAATAACCACACTTTACTTTGTGATCTCTTGCAAGAGGAAAGTATTAACTTTACGAGGGCGGCAGAAGCATTTCCACTTATTAAAGAAGTGAAACTACCAGTGTGCTCTTAAAGAAGCGCTCTCTCTGCTGCCCTTCACAATTTTTCCACTGTTTTACTGTTTTTGCCCAATTCATTGATGTGTTAATAGATTTCTTAGTTTGTGTCCTGGGGAGTGGGGTGGTGTTTTCTTTTTTTAGTGCAAGACCAGCCTGTTAGGTAAAAGCTGAGCCTGATTTTGTTAAACATGAGGGGTCCATAGGCCTCCACAGCGGGGTGGTAGCTGCACTGTGGCCTCTCAGCAAGTTGTGAAAGCATCGATCTTCTCCCCATACATGCAGCCTTTTTTTGTGTGTGTGTGTATCTCACACATCATTCAAAATACAAAAGCTATATAATAGATAAGCTATTAGCAATAATCTATTCATAATTTAATCAAAACCATTGATTTCCAAATACGATTTTCTGTTGAACGTTTAGTGAATGATCCTGATAATAGACCAACCCTGCATGTTTTCACCATCAATACCTTGAAGTGATGAGAGGGCCCATCTGATGCATAATAAACACCAGTGTTTGTGGGCTCTGGGTGTTTATATGATCTGGGATACACTCTTTTGTGGTATGCTTTGTAACATGGCCTACAGTATTGTTTCACACTGTTAAGTGAAAAACGTCACATTTAATAGGTCAGACGAAGATGTTGGATGTGAAAACCTCTCTCTTAGTCCCTCTTCTAACAGTTTTCCTGGCAGTGTGAGGTCATGATGCTGTGCAGGATCCTTATGGATCTTCCTTAAAGGGGTCATAGAATGATTCTATAGGGTGTCTGGTGCTGATCCTTAAGGTCTCTGAATAGGGTGTGTAACATGGATTGGGCTAAAAATGGCATATTTTCTGTTCTGTGAACCCTGGTTTACAACGAGAAAAGCTGCTGAGCAAAGACGCATCATAGCAACAAGCACTCACTCACTCAAACATCAAATTATTGATATGGTAGGGTGTCCAGATGTACTCCTTTTGTCATGTCCTACTTTTCATACCTAAAAAAATGTCCGGAGTGAATTTCAAAATCGTCCGGGATTTTGGTCGACTAAAAGCAGCAGAACCGAGCCGTCAGCTCCGGTGCTGCTTCGGGAACTCCAGTGGATGGGAGGAGGGGGCCAGCGGGGGAGGGAGCGACCCGACCTGGTGACGGTAGCTGCGGCCCCGTCCATGGGAAGCACGGTAGCGCTCATTGAAAGTCAATAGGAATGATCACACCCGACACAATTTTACACAAGGGGACTACGTAAGTCCGACTGAAACAGAACTCGGGTACATTTTATTCGGACTATGGAGAACTCAATGGTGCTTTCATGGGTCTGAGAGGAAGAGAGACGTGGTTACAAAGCAAAACACATCCACTTTGGGGAAAAATACAAAACAAAATCTGTTAATCGCACGGGAAAAGAGTCAGTTTTGGAGTTGCACAGAGAATACATAGCAAGCAGGACAGACTTGTGTAAAATCAATGAAACATTAAAAAACATAATAGTTTACCCATGAAAAGAGATGAGAGTAGGACAAAAAATGAATAAAGTAGTGATCCTCTTTCAGGCAAGCAAAAACGAGGGACAGAAAGCACCGTTTATCAATCTCCTTGGAAAAAAATAACTTGAATGAGGGGCAGACAGAACGGGTAAGTTCAGCGTATCTAACATCTTTATGTAAAAAAGAAGGAAAAATGTCGCTTGACTTTCCAGATCTCTCTCTGAGAATTAACTCTTGACTCATTCAGGATATAAACCGTCCCACAGTGTTTATTGCCGTTTTTCTTTTCTTTAGACATAAATCTCATTATGTTTTTAATATATGAACACTCTCTTTCTGTTCTGTTTTGAGATTCTGCACAGATTTGTTAAGTGGGGCTTTGCTTTGTATAATGCGATAATTTCTTTAGTAACGTTTCATAATCTGTCCATTCAGATTTGGGAAATTGTTTTAATTTGTGTATAGCACAGAGACAGAAGTGAAAATAATTTGCACAGATCTGCCTATCCTGCCTAGTCGGAGCCTCTCTATACACAGTCAGTGTGACATGGAAAAAAAAATCAGATAGGAGATGCAACCGGTGTGTTCTGGCCTATAGACTGAAGCATTAGCGGTCTAGTGAAGTAGTCAGCAACAAAGGAGCCCCACAGGGGACGGTACTCTCAACATTTATTTTTACTCTGTAAACCTTTGACTTCCGTCCCATCATCTGCAGAAATACGCAGTCATCGGGTGCATCAAAGATGGACAAGAAGCTAAATACAAAGCGCTGGGGAGCTGCTTTGTGGTGTGGAAACAATCATCTGATCCTGAATGTCAACCAATCAAGGGAGATGATTGATTTCAGAACCAGAACTGGTTGAATCCTGTTAACATTAAAGGAGAAGAAGTGGAGGTTGAGGAGTATAAATACCTTGGTGTTTATCTGGACAACAAACTGGACTGGAGACACAACTGTAAAACCGCCTACAAGCAGGGACAGAGTAGATTGTAGGAGAAATTAAATGTTGTATCAACTCAAAGGTTTTCTTTCAACACTTTGTAGGTGTGTGGTAGCTGAAGACAGGAAAGATCTTCTGTGGTCTGGAGGAACCTCTGACTGAAGACACTTTATTGTTTAACAGTCTGATTAAGAGGATGCTCACTGGTCTCCCTGATGTTCTTCACCTTATGAATAATTCTTCATCAGCTTGTTGAGCTTCTTTAAGTCATTCTCAGGTCACGAAAAGCAAGAAACGTTCCACCGATCATTGTTGCTCTACACATAAGCCCGCCCCTCATTAAGACCAGGATCTTTTACAGTAAAAGGGAAAAATCTGGAGGTGTTTCCCCAATAAGCAGCTGAGATCAAAGTCCTCTTTAAACACCTTAATGTTTTACCTTCATAGAGTCAATATGAGACGCCTGAATCGTTAACCTGTTGGTCACATACTGACTGGTTTCCACGTTGACCTCCTGGGGCATCAGAACCCCCACATGGCTGATAGTTTAATTCTTCCTTCCCCTCAATAAAGCCAGAAAAAGAACCCTGATCAAACTGTCAGCTGCTAATAATGACAGCCTGTTCATCTAGGGACTTTGTGTGCGCATAGTTCTGTCACTGAGACTCATGTTCTGTGTAATGCAAACCTCATTTTTAAATGTTTACAGAAACGCTCTGAATGTAGTGAAGAACGATCTGATTGCTCAGCTGGATGAAGTGACCTGTGAGAAGGAGGTTCTGCGAGGAGAGCTGGAGGCTGTAACCCAGGCCAAGACCAAACTGGAGGAGAAGAACAAAGACTTAGAAGAGGAGCTGAAGAAGTATGTCGTCCTGATAGTTTTTACAGATTTCTGAGCAATGGTTATATAATCAGCACTGACGGCTTCATCTTTTGCAGAGTTAAAGCCCAGCTAGAGGAGGCCAAACAGAAGATTAAGCCCGAAAACGAGGACGATGTAAGGATCTGCAAACAAAACCGATGTTTTAATGTGCTTCTGTTTCTGCCTCACATCTACGTACTGGGTTCCTGCAGAGCGATGTGCCCACAGCCCAGAGGAAACGCTTCACCAGAGTGGAGATGGCGAGAGTCCTGATGGAGAGGAACCAGTACAAGGAGAGGCTGATGGAGCTGCAGGAAGCTGTGAGATGGACCGAGATGATCCGGTAAGAGAACCGAAAGGCCTGAGAACAGGTTGATTACCTGAGATTTGGTTCTAAGGAGTTCCAATTTGCATCATAGGAACAATAAAAGAGGTAGATTTTTTTTTTTTTTTTACTTGTAGGCACATAAAATCGTTTTAGTCTTGTTGATGCTACAACCCCAGAGTTCAGTTACATCATAATGGTGTGCAGAAGAAAAAGTGGAAACATGAAGAAAAAGAAGAAATATTTACAAAATTTGATATGTTTGCTGTTTTAAGCTGATTCGTTAGATTTGTTGCAGACAAAGCTACAAATATTTCATTAGTACGGGTCAACCAGAGATTCTTATATTCTTCTAAATGTTCTGCTTATTTTTATAAAGGTTTCCTCATTTATTGCACCAATCTATCCTCCATTTGTCATCCAATTAACATATCAACAATATATCAACATTTCCCTGTTTTTGCTGAAGGAGCTCATTAGTTATACCAGGGTTTTTGCAGGTCATTAAAAATCATTTAAAGTCATTAAATGATTATTTTTTTAAATTAAGGCCTTAACTGGCATTAAAACTCATTAAATGGGATTATCGTGCCATTTAAAATGCCTTATTCAAAAAAGAAAAAAAGTTTATAAAAACAGTTTCGTCAGATATATTGCGATATATTTACGTGAAACTGCTTCCGGTTGATCGTAAAGCTGTCTGTTCGGGAAAGAAGCTCAAGGCGGAGAAAAAGCTAGAGAATGGGAAATAGTAAATTTCCACAAAACTGTCTGGAAAACGAGTAATTCCGGACATGGCTACAGCCTGTCGAGGGTAAAGATGACAAAAGATTTTGCCGTGTTTATGAGAATCATGAGTACTTGTTAATGTCATTAAAGTTATTTCTAAGAGCATTAAAAAGCATAAAATAAAAGTTACTCGTTCCTGTGTAAACCCCGAATACGCTGCAACCAGCATTTATTTTGCAAATTGATGAATCTGTTGATTATTTTTTTGATTAATAATCAGATAAGAAAAGGATCCTTAAAGAAGATTTTTTACAAAATTAATTGAAACTAAAACTTTTACACTTGAGGAGTTCTGGACAGAGCATGCTGACAGAAGGAAAAAAATTATTTTTAATCTTAAAGATAAAATATTTGTTCAGGCAGGACTTTTTATGGCCTCCTGTCAAAATTGCTCTTTCTGACACTGTTTAAGATTTTTCCCTTTAAAAAAATTTGATCACAAATATCCTCTGAAATCTGTGCTTAACTGTAGTTTCAGTCTATTCCTTTGAATCCTAACAAAAAGGTTTTTGGTTACAGTATGAATAATGTGGATGAGTTAAAGTGTTAGATGTACTTTCTCCAGGCACTGTGTAGAAAGAAGATGAAGGGGGTTCCCAGTAGGGCAGCAGAGACTTGATGTAAAAAGTCAGGCACTTTATTTGTTATATAAACAGCTTTGGGTTTATTCTTTGTTTTCTTTCAGTGCTTCTAAGGAGAATCCTGCTCTTCCAGAGAAGAAGAAATCCAGCCTCTGGCAGTTGTAAGCTCCTCCTTTCTTTTCACTAGAGATCCTCAGTTGTCTCATGCTTTGTCATTTAAAAGCCTTTTGATCGTTCTTTTGTATTTTCTCTGGGTGTTTGTTTTTTTACCCCAGGATGTAGGTAAATCTTGGCAAGTGTATGAGTTTTTTTAAATTCTAACAACAAAACTCTCAACAAAGTAGAGCAAATCACAGCTCTCATTTGTTCAGTTGTCTAGGGAAAGAGCTTGGTTTGGTTTGAAGATGGATGTTATTTGGGACAACAGCTGACAAATGTACTGTCTCTACCCTGTTTCTGTGTCCCTTCAAACTCTGCCTGATGTTGTGATGTCTCTGTGCAGGAGGTGTGTTGGAAGCAGCTTTGTTCAATTAGTGGGAGTAGAAGACTTATCTTATGTTTGCTAATCCAAATGATACCACAGAGTATTGCAGGTTATCAAAGAAACTAAGCATATTAAAAATATTAATATGTACTGTATTTAGGGTGCTGTAAAACTGAGTAGAGATGCACTAATCAGAATTAGGTCCAAATTTGATTCAGTTCTATTGCAACCCAAATCATATCGGAGTAAGATCTAGTAAAATCAAATACAGTCCAGTTTCATCCTAATTATTAAAAGTAGAATCAAAATCAGTCGCTCATATAATAGAAATATTAAAAACAATCCACTGGACTTTGTTTCCAAGTTTGAAGATATTTCGCTTCCCATCCAGGAAGCTTTTTCCAATTCAAAATGTCAGAATAGCATTAAGTTCAAGGTTTTATACAGTAGCCCATCGTAATAGAAATAAACTCATCAGAATTTCAGTTAAACCTTCAGATATAAGCACAGCATTATTATTTTCATTTATTGAGATATATATATATATATATATATCTCAATATATATATAAATATATATATCTCAATATATATATAAATATATATATCTCAATATATATATAAATATATATATATATATATATATATATATATATTGAGATATATATATATATATATATATATATATATATATATATATATATATATATATATATATATATTGAGATATATATATTTATATATATATTGAGATATATATAAACACTTTTTATCTTGTTATGATTGGAGGACCGTTAACAGTTGTGGTAAAACAGGACTTTAGTTTCAAACCGACTTTAGCATCTTATATAAATGATTAATAAGGTTATCACAAACAAAAGAGCAGTTTCTGCTTGAAATGTCCTTACCTATAATCTGAGACTTCCTCAAAGCTGCTAACATATTTTAAACCCAGTATGTTTGTGGCAGAAAATGAATCAAAGCTGAAAAAGCTCATTCCTTCTGTTATCTGCTAAAGCTTTGCTCTCGCTCTCACAGCCCGAGTGAAACAGGCCAAGGTGAACCTGATTTCATCTTTTTGCCCATCTGCTCTCATTTTTTTCCCCCACAAAAACACAGAAGTGTTGATCAAAGCTAAAAGGCTTTTGTTTTCCGTCCAACGCTTCCATCATAAATGTGTGCAAAGCTATGTTGATATTCTGCTAATTTCAAAAGAAGGTTTCACAGTAACGTATTTCCATCGAGTTACTAATATGATTAAAACTGCACGTGAATATGTTTTTCCACACAATAACTTTAAAAACAACATGGCAGCAGTGAATGTAAACGTTAGATATATCCATATTTCAGCCACTGGTCTAGGGGTGGCTATCACCCTCCCACTACTTCTTCTTCTTCGCGTTTCCATTGCAATTTTGCGAAATAAAAGAATTTGGATACGACTGAACCCCCCCCTCATAGAAGCGTAAAAACACTTTATCGATAAACATGTTTTTTTTTTTTTGTTAAATTCAAGTTTTTTCCATTTAGCAATTTTATTTTGCAGCTTGTGCAATTTGCTGGTCATGGAAACGTGACTAATGAGCCCCATTCATCTTTATTTCTATCGACTTTGCCCTGTGCAATGGACGAACGAGAGCCACACGTTCCGAACACAGGCTAGATGAGGCATTAGCAGTCGAAAACAGATCATTCGATCCCAACTTAAAACTTACAGTAAGAGAGAGTTAAACTTAATAAAACTGCAAACTGCATTGTTACTTCCCAACCCAAAACACTGAATAGAAAAGCATTCTACATAGTTTTATTTTTATCTTATTAACCTTTTTAACTAAGAAGAAGAAAACCAATGGATTACAGATCTCTAGATCATTCAATCGTAACTTTAATAATAATGTCAGTTTCTATCATATTTACACACACAATTAGATTTTGTACCAATGATCTCGGATTTAAGAAATAAAATCAGAATTCAGTATCAAAAGCTGCTGTGTGAGGGTAGCCTAAGTTTCCTTATAACATGTCCCCCCTAATGAACCAACTTACTGATACTGAACACCTGTCACACCAAATAGTGTTACCATGGCAACCTCCTAGTGTTTATTTCTCAGGTGAAGCCGAAAATGGTCTATTTCTGATTAGCCTTTGGTTGCATCTCTACATCGGAGCGTTTTCTGGTCAGGCCTGTTCTGCTCTGTGTCGTTTACTAACTTCCTAGTGTTTGCCTTTTATTAACCCACTCTCTCTGCTCTCTAGCTTTCTGGAAGGACAGGTGCTCCAAAACCTTTTCTACCTAAAAGACAGAATCATAAAGTCAAGGCGTAATAATTGGGGGTTTTCCTGCTGACATGGCAGATGGTTAATAACAGCTAGCATGGTGTACTGGCATGGTTTCATTTTCACCCCATCGTACTGCTGGAGCTACTGCTTGTGTCCACCCTGCTATACGTTTGTCTCTGTGTGGTCCCCTCCTTCTCTCTTTTTCCTTTTCTCTTTTCCCCACTTCCCTGCCCTTACAACTCCAGTTTCAGCCGTTTGTTTAGCTCGTCGGGCGGAGCGGGAAAGAAGCCGGCGGGGGACGCCCCGGTGAACGTCAAGTACAACGCACCCACCTCGCAGATTCAGCCATCCGTCAAGAAGAAGAGCAGCGCCTTGCAGCAGCTGCCGGGTGACAAGAGCAAAGCCTTTGATTTCCTCAATGAGGAGTAAGTTTGTCTAAAGAGATGAATTTAAACTGAGATGTTAGTCCTCCTAGAGTTACTTTGGCTACAGTAGGAAACACACAGAAAGAAAACTAATGCTTCTAGAGCTAGTAGCTCCTTAATGCTCCTTAAAGCCTTCTTTTGTTTGAATATTTGAGGATGATGTTGCATATATTTAGTGTTAATTTATTATTGATTGGAAATTAGATGTAGAAATGTTAAAAACATTAATCATTAAGCTGTATCTGCTGGTTTTTGGGCTGTTGTCACAGGATGTCCTTTGCAAAAGCAAAATGAACAGAAGCAGAAAGCAGTGAAACATACACTATATTGCCAAAAGTATTTGCTCACCCATCCAAATTATTGGAATCAGGTGTTCCAATCACTTCCATGGCCACAGGTGTATAAATTCAAGCACCTAGGCATGCAGACTGTTTTTACAAACATTTGTGAAAGAATGGGTCGCTCTCAGGAGCTCAGTGAATTCCAGCGTGGAACTGTGATAGGATGCCACCTGTGCAACAAATCCAGTCGTGAAATTTCCTCGCTCCTAAATATTCCACAGTCAACTGTCAGCTGTATTATAAGAAAATGGAAGTGTTTGGGAACGACAGCAACTCAGCCACGAAGTGGTAGGCCACGTAAACTGACGGAGCGGGGTCAGCGGATGCTGACGCGCATAGTGCGAAGAGGTCGCCAACTTTCTGCAGAGTCAATCACTACAGACCTCCAAACTTCATGTGGCCTTCAGATTAGCTCAAGAACAGTGCGCAGAGAGCTTCATGGAATGGGTTTCCATGGTCGAGCAGCTGCATCCAAGCCATACATCACCAAGTGCAATGCAAAGCGTCGGATGCGGTGGTGTAAAGCACGCCGCCACTGGACTCTAGAGCAGTGGAGACGCGTTCTCTGGAGTGACGAATCGCGCTTCTCCATCTGGCAATCTGATGGACGGGTCTGGGTTTGGCGGTTGCCAGGAGAACGGTACTTGTCTGACTGCATTGTGCCAAGTGTAAAGTTTGGTGGAGGGGGGATTATGGTGTGGGGTTGTTTTTCAGGAGCTGGGCTTGGCCCCTTAGTTCCAGTGAAAGGAACTCTGAATGCTTCAGCATACCAAGACATTTTGGACAATTCCATGCTCCCAACTTTGTGGGAACAGTTTGGAGCTGGCCCCTTCCTCTTCCAACATGACTGTGCACCAGTGCACAAAGCAAGGTCCATAAAGACATGGATGACAGAGTCTGGTGTGGATGAACTTGACTGGCCTGCACAGAGTCCTGACCTCAACCCGATAGAACACCTTTGGGATGAATTAGAGCGGAGACTGAGAGCCAGGCCTTCTCGTCCAACATCAGTGTGCGACCTCACAAATGCGCTTCTGGAAGAATGGTCAAAAATTCCCATAAACACACTCCTAAACCTTGTGGACAGCCTTCCCAGAAGAGTTGAAGCTGTTCTAGCTGCAAAGGGTGGACCGACGTCATATTGAACCCTATGGATTAGGAACGGGATGTCACTTAAGCTCATATGTGAGTCAAGGCAGGTGAGCAAATACTTTTGGCAATATAGTGTATATTTGTGTGGTTGCTTTTCCTCTGCCAAAATTTTTCTTATTAAAAGGCTGCAGTTTTCTTGACCTTGTTTTTTATTTAACATGCGCAGGATACAACGAAGTGAATTAGAGCAACAGTGAGGGAGAAAAAAGGTTTACCCTCTGTTTGGTGAAGCTCCTAAATAAGGCACTGAGTGAGCTGTTGTTCTGTCCCACAGACCGCCGCCTGAGAGTTCAGTGTCAAGGCGAGAACAGAAGAGGGCTCAGTACAAACAGGTCAAGGCTCACGTCCAGAAGGAGGACGGCAGAGTGCAGGCGTACGGCTGGAGCCTCCCCAAGAAATACAAAGTAAGAAGATGACTGCTAATGTTTCTATTGTGTTTTTATGTAGGACAAACACAAGGTGTCTAAAAAATGAGCCGTATTTGTGCGCTGTTTGACTTCCCAGGCTATTGGAGGTCAGGCAGATGGCAAAATGAAGAATCTACCTGTTCCAGTCTTCCTCAGGCCGCTGGATGAGAAAGATCCGACTATGAAGGTGTCTCCTTCCTCTGCTTACTTTGCTCTGTTCTCTTTTTGTCGTCTCTTGCATACCCACAGCATGATGCTGTCACCCCTCTGTTATCATGGGGATGAATAAGTTCCCTGTTTGCTGTGTTTGACGGCTTTCTGTTTGTATTCCAGCTGTGGTGTGCTGCAGGTGTGAATCTGTCTGGAGGAAAAACCAGGGATGGAGGTTCCATAGTGGGGGCCAGTGTGTTTTACAGCGACACATCAGGTGCAGCGAGCCCCAAAAAAGAGAAGGGCTCTCAGAGTAGCCTGGATCAGCTGGATCGGGAGCTTAAGGTACGCGTTTTCTAACAGACGCCAGCGGCGTGAGGGTCGCTGCTTTGAGTTCATTTCTCTGTCTGTTGTTGTTGCAGGAGCAGCAGAAAGAGTTGCGTCATCAGGACGAGTTTTCCTCTCTGGTGTGGATCTCCACCAGCACCCAGTCCAACTCCAACGTGGTCGTCATCGATGCCAACCAGCCCGGAAACATCCTGGAGAGCTTCTTTGTTTGTAATTCGCACGTTTTCTGCATCGCCAGTGTACCCGGTCAGTGACTGATCAAAACTGGAGCCTCTGGTTCGGATTGTTTTCAGTGAAGTTCGCCGCTGATTCTTGTTCCCATTAAGGTGCGAGAGAAACAGACTATCCTGCCGGAGAGGAAGTATCCTCAAACACTGAGCCAGGACCAGTGGGAGATAGTGGCCCATCAGCAGCCAATAGGAGCACAGAGGGCAGCGATAGCATTCTTGGAGGCATCACGGTGGTGGGCTGTGAAGCTGACGGAGCAGTAGCTGTTCCTCAGACTGCTGATGGTTCAGGTAAGCAGCAAGAAACCCGCTGGAGCCATCGGGGCCACAGATCATCATCTTCTTCTCAGTAAACCCGGTTAAATGTCCACCTTAGATTCCAGACCAGCAGAAGAAGCCATGGAGGCGATGGAGACCAACGCAGGAGGCTTTGACCACAGCGAGAGCCTGAGAGGGATCTACACAGAACACGTCTTCACAGATCCGCTAGGAGCCCAGCAGACCAGAGAGACCCCAGCTAACTACTCCCAGAGGTAACATGTGGAAACCTGTCCCTTTTAAAAGCTGTTTTGTTTTTTAATCATATCAATGTTGAATTCAGTAAAATTAACTGTTAAATCTTAACCTAATTACACTTGAAAGGTAAAAGTTTTATGATTCAAAGGAACCTGTACTTTATTTTATGGCAGTATGTGATTATAAAAAACTTTGGGTCAGAGTTCGACTCATTTCAAAGCAACACGTTAGTATTTTACAGAGCTTTGCAATAGTAGTCACACCACTTAAAATAATCATGATTATTTATAACTGCAAGCTTCAGTGTATTTTTATTGTAATAAAAGCCCAAAATGAAGCATCACATGTTGTAGAAATGGTGCCACTCTTTTAGTTTTCCTTTCAGATGGAAAGAAATTCAGGTTTTATCTAAACACTGTAGCTGTAGTTGTTAAAGTAACCTTTGTTTCCAGTCAACATGGCTTGATTTTATATGAACCTGATATGAAAATCGTTAATGGATCGTTTTGAAAAATCCGGGTTTAAACTATTTCAGATGTACGCAGGCAAATAATTTGTTGGTCTAAGATTTTCTAAAGATATTTTCTAAAGATATTTACAGTAATTGAGGAAGCAAAACCACTGGGTTGAGTAGAACCATTTACATCCTTGTTGTGCAGGATATCAGAGCTTTTTGATATTCTGCTGGTAATGGAGTTAAAGCTAATCTTAGCTAGCTAATAGGCTAGTCTTTTTAACAGGCTTCCTTTAGCTTCCAATCGTTTTCCAAGTTGGAGGCCATCTCTCTTTGTTAGTCAGTCATAGCTGTTTTGAATCTGTCAGATGTTTGAAAAAGGAGTCAAGGGATTAGCATTAGCCTCACTACATGCAGTTAGCTTGTTTTTTTTTTTTGCTAATCAGGTCCTGGAAAACAACCAAATGTAGTTTACCGGTGGAAAACCATCACAGATCAGACCAGGAGAGCTTTTCTTTTAACATTGGTATACTTTATCAGCTAGTAATTAAGATGATTCAATCAGGGCAAAGGGCTTCAACTCTGCAGTCTTCCTTAGGGGTGTGAAAGAAAATCGTTTTAGCAATATATTGTGATTTTTGGCTGCCATATATTTCTGTAGTTGAGACAGTCACAGTAGAAGACTTGGATTGATTCAAACCCCAAGCAACATGGATACCAAAATAACTGAACGATCAATATCATCTGGTGAACATATGCAGGGGTTGCTTTTTTATCTATACATTTAATTTTGATAACAGGACAAATATCGCAATATATGGTGATATTGCAATATAGTGATAATCTTGTATTGTGACATGGATCGCATCTTAACCCCCATTCCAATACTCACCCCCAGTCTTCCTATACCAACTTTTTACGGTTTAATGGACAATTTCATATAGAGGCGGAGAAGAGCTAACGCTAATGCTACTCTTGGTTTTGGATTGTCTCTTGTGAACAGAGAGAGCGATCTGCTTAAAGATGGAGTGAGTTCGAACCCCAGTGCAGAGGAGCAGGACCTGATGATCGAAGAGGCTCAGAAAATGAGCAGCGTCCTGCCCACCATGTGGCTGGGGGCCCAGAATGGATGGTAGTGTGTTTTATTTGTCGTTCTGCTTCTGCTGGTCGCCCTAATCTTCTCCTCGCCAAGTGAAATTGTGCTTTCGTTCCTAGTGTGTACGTCCACTCGTCTGTGGCTCACTGGAAGAAGTGTCTCCATTCTGTAAAGCTGAAGAAGCCCGTGCTCGGCATAGTGTGAGTTCCTTAAAGACAGTCGCTCCTGTTATGGTTTTATCTCAGAGTCTGACGATTAAAACCTGTTTCCCTCTCAGACACGTGAAAGGTCGGGTTCTGGTCAGCCTGTCTGATAGCACCGTGGCCATTTTCCACAGAGGAACAGGTGAGAGAGCCTTCTGGTTCCTCTGAAATCTCCAGGAGAAGATCTCCAGTGATTGCGTTGACTTTTTCATCATCAGATGGGCAGTGGGACCTGACCAACTACCATCTGCTGGACCTGGGGAAGCAGCACCACTCCATCCGCTGCATGACTGTGGTGCATGACAGGGTGTGGTGTGGTTACAGGAACAAGATCCATGTGGTGCATCCCAGAGCCATGAAGATAGAGGTGAGGAAACATTCACCTCCTCTGTGACTCAATCTCTTAATCACGCCTGCTTACATCCACCCAATCGTTCTCTCTTGTAGAAATCCTTCGATGCACACCCCCGTAAAGACAGCCAGGTCCGTCAGCTGGCCTGGCACGGCGACGGGATCTGGGTCTCCATCAAGCTGGACTCCACTCTCAGGCTGTTCCATGCACACACACACCAGCACCTCCAGGACATCGACATCGAGCCCTACGTCAGCAAGATGCTCGGTCAGGAGGCGCTCCCTGCAGACTTTACTAGCTGGAAGCAGAACGAGGGTTTGAATGTCATCTGTTTGCAGGTACGGGCAAGCTGGGCTTCTCGTTCGTAAGGATCTCGGCTCTCATGGTGTCATGTAACCGTTTGTGGATCGGGACCGGTAACGGAGTCATCATCTCTATTCCTCTAACAGAATGTAGGTTCAGAAACTTCACATATTGTTATGTTAAACATGATGAATGTCTCCTTAAGTCTATTTATGGGGATATTTTAATGTCTTTTCTGCACATCTGCTGCTCTTTTAGCAGCCAACAAGGTAACCAAGGCATCAGGAAACAATCCGGGAGGTGTTGTCCGCGTCTATGGAGACGACAGCGGCGACAAGGTGACGGCCGGGACAGTGGTTCCTTACTGCTCCATGGCTCACGCTCAGCTCAGCTTCCACGGTCACAGGAATGCGGTCCAGTTCTTCACGGCGGTTCCAGGTGATCCAGCGTTACAGGCAGCCGGCTTCAGATCAGTCTGAAGCGCAGTTGATTTCTACATTTTGATTCTTAATATCTTTACATAAGGATTTATTAACGGCATGGGTTCAAATCTAGATCTTACTTTAAACCTTGAAGTCTTAAAATATATATAAAAGTAAACAGTCATCCTAAGAAAAGTGTGAATGTGGGACAAAGTGACATAAGTGACTCACTGGAAAGATGAAAACTAAACAAACAATCACAACTTCCCAGTACTTATATTTATTGACGTATCAAATGCATCCTTGGAACAAAACAAGATCTTTTCCTTCAAACAAGATATAATTTATGTCCGAGACATATGAACCGTAACAAAAGGAGTGTGAGACCTCCGAATCTTAAGATGACGAGGCAATTAACTTAATTACAATCTAAGTTTAATATACTGAGAGGATTAAATCTTAATGGAGACAAAATAGGCCTAAGCTCTGATTGTTTGATCACTCTTCTCAGATCTATAGATCTCAATATCTAGAGATGAGGTGAAGGTGAGGCTCTAATTAGGAATGAAACGGTGAACCAATCAAGATGAAATATTCTATGTCAACACTAACTATTCCGTTATCTCTAGATGAGACTTTTTCTTGAGTTAATGATGAAAGGAAGCCTGTCATGAAAAACAAGAGATTTCTCATCCAGAGATACTAAAATAACTGAAGTCTAGTCTCAGAAAAACAAGCTTGAGATCTAATTATCTCTAATTGAACTATAAAAAATGTAGGCTTGACACCCATTTTACTCAGTATAATATCGTAAGGAAGCAAGTTTCAACAGGAAAGATTTGTGAAATGTAAGAAAAAACCATAAAAGCAACACGTTCATATTAACCTTAGAAAAATGGAAAATCAAATTTCAAGGTAACAGAATAATAACAGCTGGAGCCGTTTTATATTCTGATAAGAAAATAGAAACGATGTGAGTGAAAACATGCCAAACAAATCAGTGTTTTCATTTCCGGCTGTGAAGCTTCTGGCTTTTATTGGCATTTTTGCTGTCAGGTCATGCAGATCTGACAGCATCCAGCGCATCAGACACATCAGGAGATAAATCCACTGATGGTTCAGCTCAGGAAGGAAGCAGATCCATGTTGGTGATGAGCGGAGGAGAGGGTTACATTGACTTCAGAATGGGTGAGTTTCTGAGCTGGACCACAAACATGGGGCTAACCCATAGCGTAGACGGCCAACGTGTTTCTCTACCTGCAGGGGACGAGGACGGGGAAGCGGACGAGGCAGAGGACCCCACCATGAAGCTGCAGCCCTTTCTCACCAAAGGAGAGCGAAGCCACCTCATCGTCTGGCAGGTCATGGTTAGCGAGGACTGAAAACAAGCCGCCTGGCCTCTGCAGACATGATTTTCCTTTTTTTTCTAAACCACAGAAACCCAGGAGTCGTCGAAGGCACCAGATTAATCAGCACTTATTTTTTGCTTCCTCAGTCTTTGGAACGATGGAAGCAAAACTAGCAAAAACTGCTCTGCGAGCATTTTTCTCTCTTAACCTTGAACGCATGGAGTTTCTTTGTCCTTTTATTTTTTATGCTTCAGATTCGAAACATTTATTGTTGCCTCATGTGTTTCAATTTTACTGGAGGTAAGGTTGATGTTTCTGCTCAGATTACAACCTGAGCTCACTCCAGACACGGCTAAAGCTACATCTGCTGTTCAGGGGTAAGAAAACTGTCGCCTTCATAAGCTTTCCTCTAAGAATGTAAGACGGGGGGAGTTAATCATGTGGGATTCTCTCTATCAAATGTTTTAAAAGAACATCTTCTATGTTTTAGAAGAACATCTTTTAAAGCTCAACAGTGGAATCATCTTTCACTTGTGTGAAGCTGATGCTATATTCAATATTTTCATCATTATTTGCTAAATATTAATAAGAATTTAATTAATTCAAGTTTCAAACAGCCCAGTTTGTGCCTCAGATATCAGCACAGATTCTTCTCCATTTAGCCCTGGAAAAAAACAACAGCCATCAGTGTTTCTAAAACTCAGTTATAATTTAATAAAATTCCATGACTTTTTTGTCATGTTTACATTGTTATAATTATGCAGCTTCTAAACGAAAGACTCTTTTGGAAGGTGTTCTTGAAAGGCAGCAAAAACTTTATCCCAGGACCCTTAATAATCTGCTCTGAGACCCTTTAACTGGATTAGAAAGTTCACCATAGGGTTCTGGTCGTGTTTGATGAAACACGGATCGGTTTTTCATTATCAGACACAAACGACTACTGTCTTTAATCACTTGGAACGCTCCTGAACGAGAAATATAAAATGATTTGGACTAGTGTTGTTAAGGATGTGAGCTTTTAATGTGTTTCCAAGCTGTGTTTTTGAACCAGGTGGAAATAAATTCTTATGAAAAGAGTTTCGTCATAAAATTGAACGGTTAGTGTTTCACTGAGAAGTGCCGTAGCCATTACAGTCTCCGTTCCCCTGTTATCGTCGTGAAAAGATGTTGGATTTTTGAAACGAGAAAATAACCTTTGTAGCCAATAATGTAGATTTGGATGCTGCAGACGCAAAGATAATGAAGCTCGAGGCAAACGGGGTTCTGTGAGCTGCTGGCCACTTAAAAAAATGCTAAAGCTTGGAGCTAAAATCTGGATTAGATAAAAATATTACATGGGGTTGATAAAACAACCTGATGAATTTGGCCGTTTAATTGGGGAAAAAAATGTGATGCCTTCCTAAAAGTACCTCAGAAGGTCAGAGATTTTTTTGGAGGACATAAAATATAAAAGTCCTGAACATAATTTCATGCTAAAGAAACGTTTAAATCAAATCTCAGTTCAGCTTTCCGTTCACTAAAGTAAAACTGGAGGTTTTTCACTGACTGGAGCAGAATCTGTGCTGCTTGTCTTACAACTGGGGTGAGCAGAGAAACTGGTATCTATACGTAAAGAAGGTCTGGATAAGAGCTGTGAATCACTTCTATTAAACAATCCGAGCAGCTGTCCTCTTTTTGGTAGAATTTAATAAATCCTTCACGTCTCTTGCAAAGATTTGAATTTAGTTTGATCATACTTAGATTTTCCTTAAAGAAAAATCCCTTAGACAGAATGTACCTTCAGCTGTTTGGAGGATTTGCAATAACTGAACACTAAAGGCAATAAATAGGTGTCACTGTTTGCAGATGACATAACGATTTTTTTTTATTCATCAGTGTGCAGCTTTTAATTATCGGTCTAGAAATCTGCTCACCTCAGTTTTGCCTCCATGACATCAGATTCCCTGTCCTCCGCTCCGCAGACACTTTGATAGATGCCTTAGATACCAGAGTTTTGCTGTTTTCATGGCAAAGTTAATCTATTTTTCTCTAAAGATTATCCTGTTTGCTACCAAAGGTTAAAGGCTAATAGCTATAGGCTCAGGCAGCGATAGAGCAGCACCTTTCACAGCAGCATGTTGGGATCAGGGAGCCATGTTTTTTTCTAACAGATATCGAAGCGTGTTGATATATTAAGATAGAGATCTATTTTTAACTTACATATTTGTAAATTGTGCGTGTTGTGAGAGAGAGAAAGGTGTTAGAGTCAGAGGGTAAAGAAATGGATAATGTAATGCCCCCCCTTCGGTTGCCAGATGAGAAACCAAACCCTTTGCTTTGCTGATCTGCTCCCTTTTTACCAAACCTGTGTGTTAATCCAGAAGTTTCCCTCTCGACATTTTTATTGCTGTCTTTATCAAACTGTCCGCTTTGAGACTCGTTCAGTCCTCTGAACACTGCACACATGCTTTCTGTTTCGTCGGTTGTTTTTTTTGTTTCAGAAAGCTGTCCTCTTTATGCAACTGTGTGTTTTCCTGTCTTCTCTGCAGGAGAAAAGATATATATATGTATAAATATTTCAGTTTAGCCATTTCAGTATTTATTTTTGATGAATGAACCTTTGCAATTGAGAATGTGTCTTTGTACATTGAATATATAATTATATGTGTATAAAACCTAAAGATGGTTTGGATTTTATTGAGTTGTGACCCTCCTCTTCTATGCACCGTATTAGGGATTTAAAACTGAACTCCCTTCCTGCTATAGGCTTCTATTGCAAAAGGTAAAACTTCCAAGGTTAGACTGGACATCCCATTATTGTTGAGAAAACCCACATATCTGTCAACCTGCAGTCTGATGGGGGTATAAATGTGGTATAAGGTAGGGTGACCAAACGTCCGTATTTCCCGGGACATATCCGTATTTCACGTCCTGTCCCGGGCGTCCCGGGTTTTTTTTTAGAAAGTGAGGAAATGTCCTGATTTCACTGCGCACGACGCTCCGTGTGACGTAATCTCTGAGCCGCGTCAGTGCAGGCAGCCCTGTTCTTAATCAGAGGCTCTGTTCGAAAACCTAGGACGCATCCTCCAAGGACGCGGTCTACCTAGACTGGATCCTTCGAAGTCCTTGAAAATAAGGAGGCCGGAAGAGTTCTGTCTGTAAATCCGAACAGGTCCTCCCTTCGGCGGGTTTTACCGCCGTATGCTCTGTTGCTTAGCAACCGTGAAAGTTGACACACAAAGCAGGAAAAGAATGAATACCGAGGTTTTCAAAATGGTTTGTTTATTTATTTATTTTTAAAAAAAGTTAAAGTGAACAAAGACTACACTCACAATAATCCAGAGTGGAATAAAGGTTCCAACCACCGGGAGCAGGAACAAATCAAATCAAATGTAATGATAGAAACCTTAGTCAGTTAAATAACCTGCTGCTGTCATTCTGCACATCTCTGATGTTGCTGATATTTTTAAATTTCCATTACTGTAAAAATATCCATAGCTGCATATTGGTTATTAATTCTCCAGTTTTATATTGTTAAAACACTTTACAGAAATTTATTTTTCATATTTTAACTCTTCCCTATTATGTTATTCTTATACATTTTTCTAAGGTCCACATTTGTGTGACAATTTTCAATAATCTTTCTGCTGCTGTAAATTTGCCCATTGTGGGACAATAAAGGGATTTTCTATTCTATTCTATAAAAGGGTTAGAAATATATAAGTAAATCTAAACAATGTATCTACAAAATATATCTGCAAAATCTCTAATATTCAACAACAAAAAATACTTAGTTAAGCATATTGTGCAAAACAGCAATAGAAAAATGAAACTCCTATCAGATTTATAGTTCCCACTCTGCAGACATATTAGAATCTGTCCTTAAATTACAGCCAAACTCATTTACACAGTAACAGATTAAAACCTTTAGATAAATCAAACATTACCGCCACATATCTGACTCTATAACCATTAAAACAACTATTTTCATTCATTTCAGACGGAACTATTCACAGACCTGTATTATATTAAACTGAACTTCCAATTTTCACCACTGTTCTGCGCCAAGTAACCTTTCCTCTGATCACGGAGCAAATCCCGATGATGAGACATTTGTTCTTTCAATCAACCCCCCCCCCCATCTCCCCCCGCTCCAAGGTGTCCTGGTTTTCCCAAATGAAAATATGGTCACCCTAGTATAAGGTGCTCTTTTTTTTCTCCAAATCTGCAGTAAATACACATCATAAATCTGCAGCATTTTAATTTTTTCTAATTTTCGCATTCAATCAAAAGCAACTGTTTGAATGAACAGCTTTTCCTCTGTTAATGTCGATGCACTTTAACTCCTGTGTAAAGTCCATTTTTACCACATTAAAGCACCATGACCACAGTCTATCCTGCAGGGCCTCAAAAAGACTTAATGTCCCTTGAATATTTTCTGTATTTTATTTGATCTGGTTCATTATCTACAGCTCTGCTTTCTTTTCTGTTCCAACTCCCTACTCTGACAATGTTCCGATGAAACAACAAAGTTAGAAACACAATCTGTAAACCATCCTAGATATGAAAAAATTGCGAATCTTGCAGGTTTGCCTGTTTTAAAAAAATTACTTATGTTTTTTAGCCAAACAAAACAAAAAAAGTCTGTCCTTTAATAAAAACTTGCGGGATGTTTGTCTTACTGTTTGCTATTAATCAAAGCTAAAAGGGAAATCATGATTGATTAAAAGGGGGAAACCACTGATCCCCCCGATCCAGCACTAAAATGGTGGCATTGGTATCGGCGAGTACCGATAAAGAAGGCACCGATACCATTTTGAGAGCCAAATGTTTATTCAACTATTGTCACCCAGGTAGGAAATAAAAAGTTCTACTGGATTCACTTTGTTTTAGTCTTTTTCCTGCTTCACAAAGGAAGACAGCAGCTTGACAAAGCCATGATGGCAATTATTTTACATCCAAGTAGTATGCAGTTCTTCATATATAAACACACATCAATTTCATACAGATGTTATATATATATATATATATATATATATATATATATATAACTGCATCCTATTATTTAAATTTTTCCACCAGGGTCAGTCTGGTAAGCCTAATTGAAGACATTCCTGGAATATGATCTAGGGCTGTAAGTGGGCCCTGGCCCCCCTCTGGACACCCCTTAGGAGTATCAACATGGAATGTCCTTCAATACTTCCCCTAAAAACCTGATTAATGCTTTTATATGGAGCGGTGACATTAGAACCAGTTTGCTTTGATTACATCTTCATCCCTTCTGTAGCCTCTATCCAGCAGTTCTCACAAAAATGTTCACGCTCAGTTAAACTTGATTAAAATCATCTGTGTTAAAAAAAAAAGCTTTTTTTCAGGTCTTGCCACACATCTTATTTCTTTAATTCATCCTTCTCCTAATAAACAAACCAATGCAGTGTAGTTCTTGCCATATGCTTAGAATTGGTTTAGATGGTAAACTCCAGCCTTAAGTAGGTTTTCTTCCACCCTTTTTAAAGCTCCATCCATCTTCCCTGTCTTTGCTAAAGTCAAATACATCATGATGTGGCCACGACGGCTCTAGTTTCCTCTTTAAGTGAAAGACATTATTTATTTCCAACTAAGTCACACCTTTGCAATGTTGGCGTTTGCCTTAGCAGCCTTGTAAGAAACAGTTATATGGGCATCTATATCCTTTCTTTTAACAATGCCACCCCTCTCCCCAAAATACTTACTTTCACCTGAGCTATGGATCTTTGCAGCTCCTCTCCTGCTACCTGGGTCCTTGCAACAGCTTCTCTTATTAAGGCTCTGCTCATCCTGGTGGCTAAGGATAGTTCAACCCAGATTGATATTCTCTCCGTAACTGCCTTTTGTGGCACTCTCATATATTATCCCCAGAATGGATGCTAAAAATATGGGATTGCTGCATCAAAAAAACATGTAAAAGTTTAAAGGTTAGAGAGAAAATAGGTTTAATGGAGAGCCGAAAATAAATTCTTCCAGTGTTTCCAAACAGAAATTAAGAAGGAAACTGTCAAAGGAAGTGGCTTGCACTTCTGTCTGTCGACACTAGGTGGCAGACTTGATCTACAGGAGAGTGAGATGCTTTTGACTTTATTAGAAGGACAAAGGCACCCCTCCCCTGGCTGTGATTGGTCCAGCACTCTTCTATTCAGGGCCTCAGTTAAAGCCTGTTCAGAGCCACTGGCCTCCTGCTTCCTAACTTCTATCTTCATTGGCTGCCAAGCTGACATTAAGTTATATATCTACTTCTTATTCATTCTTGGATTTAATTCAGACCCGATAATTGTTACTGTCATATCAGCTGCTTCCTGTGAGGCAAACGTCCCACTGGAGGAAAGCTCATTATATAAAAGTGGTGATGCAAATGTCAACAGCTCTGAGAGAAAAGAGCTTCTAACTCTTAACTAAAGAGAGCTGCCAGTTTACTCACTCTGAAGTAATCCTGTTACATCAGTAATCCTGACTTAACTTTCATAATTTATAATAACTTTCTTATTGACCATAGTTGACCCTAAAACAACTAGAACACTGTTGGATCAGACTATAACATGAACTCTGTATCTGGCTGCCCTGATTGTTTGTGACAGATCCTTCACTAAACACATTCAGGGCTTTTATTACTTTAATGTGCAAATACAAATCTTTCAACTTATCTATTAGTTAACAT